TCATGTTTATAGCAAAAAAAATAAATAGATATAAATACAAACCCTAATTTTTTGAGAATTTGTTTGTGATTGTGTTCCGAGAAACAAATTGATAATTCAATCGCTGAAAATGTATCAATGTAAGTGTTTATGTTAATTATTGATCAATTTCAAAGCGACTATTTAATTTCGAATAATTAGTAATTTTTTTTTTGAGGCAAATAATTAGTAATATTAACATATACTTGTTTCAATTTAATTTGCGGTTCGGAAAAATCTATTTCAGAGAAGAAAAACAATGATTCTTCAGAAATGTAAATATATATTTACTCGAACTTTTAAAATTTACAAATATTTCTTCAAAAAAATTATTTATAAATAAATATATAATGTAAAAACAGTGATGATGAAACACCTCTACATAAAATTAGAAAAAGAAAAAAAAAAGTGAGAAAAAATGTCCTCTTGTAGATCCAACACTTTTAAAAGATATACAAGCATCGAGTGTTGCAGTTGAAAAAATAATATCTCGAATGCATAGGTAAATTGAACAATTACAAAGCACTATACGTTCATTTCCATATAATGAAATTATTCACGTGTTTACCTATAATTACATGTTAATATGTATTCATTAACATATTCTAATTTGATTTTTTTTTTAAAATATGTGCTAATGATTAGTATAAAATATTATGAATGCATACAAAACTTGAAATACCATTCATTTAAATGTTAATTAATAGTTTATATATCTGCTTTTACATTTATTAATGTGTTCATGATTTTAAAATATAATGAACATTTCTACACACATATATGAACATTTATAAAATGCATAACAAACAAAGCTGGATTGTAAATTTTATACTTCCTCCATTCTTTTTTTTATTGCACCATAAGCTGGATTGTAATATATGAACATTTATTAGTATAAAGTGTTTCACGCTTGTCAATGCATTACTTTGGCTATTAATATCTTTAATTATACTTTTGTGAAAATTATAAAAAATTGATATTTGAAAAGTAGATTTCAAGACGAATGTAACTAGATCCCACATGACTATGTTTTTCCTAAAGGATAAATCACAAAAGATGGTCAAAGAAGATAAAGTGAATAGTGTAAAAGTCCTTATGGTGCAATAAAAGAAAAACGGAGGAAGTACCATTTTAAGTGAAAAGAAGATAGTATACCTACGTACAACTCAAGATACACTTTTTTTTTTAACAAACTCAAGACACACATTCATACATAATTAAAAAAGTATGTTCAAATATAGATAACTAAATGTTCATAAATATAACGCTTAGTTATACTTATACATTTTTATCATAAAATAAATGAAGTATATATAAACCATCAATTCAACTTTGAAATTTCTTAAAAAGCTGGGCAAAAAGAGAACAATAAGTCGAAAATCTAGGTTTGTGCCTTTAAAGCTAACATTTTAAGTAAAATTTAATAAACAAGTTATAGTATTTAGTGTTCAATTTTGTAGCACATAATGTTCAATTATATAACACTTTATGTACTGTTTATTTTAATAACAATTCATTTTCATTAACATGTAGGCTAAATCACAAGGTTGGGGATGCAAATTGCAATACACTGCTCAACTAATGCTACTGAAGAAAAACCATGAGTCTAAGAATAATAGAATAGCATCAAGAAGATTTGCAAAGGCATAATATAATATGTTCACTTATGGATAGATATATGTCCATAGCTGGTTGATAAAACTTATACTTCGTAGATATTATTTGTTAACAGAATTACTCTATGTGATTAACTATTTAATTTTATACGTTTAAAGTTTGATACGGAGTAGATATTATTTGTTTATAGAATAATTCTTACAATTTTATATGAAAATTGCGGATTTTATGTAAAGTATTATGTTAATCAATTTTGATCATTCACAAAAGCTAAATGATTCTTTACAAAAACTTAATGATCATTTTTAAAAACTAAATGCTCAATTACAAATACTAAAATATTCACTTATAGAAGATTTTAAAAAAAATTAATATTCAATAAGAAGAATAGTACTTAATAACAAGGCAAAAGCTAATGAGCGCCCCCGGGGCGTTAGATAAGAGAATTAAAGTGCAAATATTAGAGTAAAATTAACATTAATTGCACCGAACGACGCATGATTTTGTCATGAATTCCTAACTTAATACTATTTCAACCAATATAATTTAACCTTATCTAACGCCCCGGGGCGCTCGTTAGCAAGATCCTAATAACAAAAGGTTAAAGATATTCTTATAAATATTAGAGCCATTTGAGCATTTATAGGAATTTTTACATTTTTGGAAGATAATAGGAATTACAGTTGAATTACCAAATGTAAAACATAAATGATCATCTATCGTCATATAAATGAACATTATTTCTGAAACTACAAAATAGTGATAATCATTAAAAAAAGTCACATGTACAACATATAATTCCATAAACACAAGTATATATATAAATGAACATTTATAATTACATAAATGAACATTATTACAACAGAACAAATATAAAATATATTCACTAGTTAAAATGTATATGAGCATTTATAAAACAATGAAAATAATTGAAATTCACATGTACAACGTAAGTATTCAAATACAACTACAATAAACATATACAAGTATTTTAATACATAAAAAATACATTAAATATAAATGAACATTTACTGTTACAGAAGTGATAATTATTTTAACTAAGATTATTTTTTTATGACGCACAAAACTGGTAAAAATAATCGAATAGCAAAATTAAAACAACAATATATACTCATACGAAACGCACAAAACTGGAATAAACAACAATCAAAAATACAAAAAAAAAAACCCCCGAATTAGATGAACAATACAAACTAAATTATTAATCAACTAATAACAACAATAACAAAACCAAAGCATTATCAAAATTAAAGTCAATACAACAAAAACTATGAAATCAGATCATTATAATCATCCAATTACAATTGTAAAACAAAGCATTATCAAAACAATTGACTAATTATCATTAAAAGTAAGAATTACTTATATTGATCTCCATGAAAGAAGAGAGAGAAAATTGAAAAACAATAAATAAAAAAAAAACCAGGAGAGAGAAAATGAAATTGGTGAAAAAGAGGAGAGAGAAAATGAAATTGGTGAAAGAAATGAGAGAGAAAATGAAGTCTATAAAAATGTTTATATACAGTACTTATTTGAATGGAAGGTAAAGAAGGGAAGGAAAAAAAATTATGCAAAAGTAGCTGCTTGATAAAACGACGTAGTATAGAAAGGGGGTGTAGGGAAAGCTACATACACTAGAGTCTAGTTAAAAATTTGTAATATAATGTTACTCAAGTGTAGTTTATAAAGGTAATTAGGATTGTGGTCTTGTGGACTACCCAAGTGGTTCAAGTGTTCGACTCGAGTATTTGTATAGTAGGCCGGTAAGACAAGGTTTAGAGCTTCGTAATTAACACATGTGGACCATTGATTAAAAATTTCCATCTTTTTGTCTCATATTACTCGCAATACTCTGTATATGCATTCTTATACAACAACACTTTCCTTCGTACTTAAAGAATAATAACCTTTTTTTGAGGATTTGTGAAATCAATGTTCAAAAAAAAAAAAAAAATAAATAAATAAAAAGAAAACAACCTTGGCATTTGGCAAGTGATGCAATATTAATTAATTAAACGGAGGAAATAATAGAAATTATTTATATTGAGAGTGAGGAATAGCTCAGGTGGTTAGAGCTTCTCTCTCGATTCTCACCCCGTCCTCTCTCTAAATACCAAAAAAAATAAAAATTATTTATATTTTATTAATGATAATATCTACTTAGTTTTCTATATGTAAATTATATTGATTTTTTTGGAGGAAAAGATATCAATACATTAAAGTAGGAAGGAAAATATTATAGCAAATTAAATATTTCCTAAGTTAATTCGGCAATATATATATATATATATATATATATATATATATATATATATATATATATATATATATAACTAATATATAAAGCTAAACTTTTAGCCAAGTCACGATGCAGCGACACTTGGCGTTCCAATTTTTCGCCAAGTGTCATCCCACGTTGGATAGATTTAAATAGATTTCATAAGATAGAATTTTAGGATAAAATTGTTGGTTTAGAGTATTTTTTTCGATAAAATACCAATATTTCAAACGTACAAATTAAATTATAATTTTATTCAAAAAAATTATTAGATTATAATTCTAAAAATTTATCATATAAATTTATTTTTTTGTATCATAATATTTTTTGGAACGAATAAAGTAGTTCAAAGCGCAAATCATTCATTTATAATATGTACTAATCGGTTAAAATAACATATATACTTCACAATCTAATAGAATTTTATTACTATATAGACCTGTTAGGTCTGGTCATGAGTTAACTCGAACTATAAATTTATCTTAAAATTCAATAAACAACCCGGGCATCGCCGGGTACAAAACTAGTATATATATATATATATATATGTATATATATATATATGTATATATATATATATATATATATATATATATATATATATATGTTTGTATGTATATATATATATACACGACTAATATGAGTGATCCTAGTAGAAAAAGGCTCATTTGCGTCGCTTATTTATAGTGTATTTGCGTCGCTTCTATGAGTGACGCAACTGCTCGTGACGCAAATGATTTAAAAGTCATTTGCGTCGCTCCTAAGCGCGACGCAAATAAGAGTCATTTGCGTCACTCCTTTCTTATTTGCGTCGCTCTTTTATAAAGGAGTGACGCAAATACCTGGTCTGATCAACTTCTTATTTGTTATTTGCGTCACTTGTTTATATAGGAGTGACGCAAATGACAAACAAGACAATACAAAATTGCTTTATTTGCGTCACTTGTTTGTTTAATGAGTGACGCAAATGAGGTGAATTTTTTTTTAATTATAATAATTGCTTGTATATGTTTGTAGTACCTGTTTTCCTTGCTAGTGGTATAAAGTAATATGCTAACGCTAATAATTGAAATTAAAATGCAATATTATTGAATGCAAATGTAAATTTCGGCAAAGTCTCAAAATTTTACAACTCAAAATTATTGATATCATCAACCAACACAAGAACAAAGACCAACCCAAAATGTTGGTACCCCAAATACATTCATTTCAAGCCTAAGAACTAAAACAAAAAAAGTTTAACAAACAAATGGATTTAGCTAAGTTTAAATCTAAATTTCAACGTTGATCATGAAATATTTTGACTAAATATCTCGAACCTCATTTATCCCCTCCCCATTATAAGGTATTGTTCTTGAAAAATCCTGTTAACACAACATAAAAACAAAAACTAATCAATTCAAGAGTGTAGCCAATTTAAAATAAATTGATGAATTAGTAGTGAAAGATCTGACAACACATACTAACAAGATCCTCATTACTACGGTGATGTTGAACTGTTTCAAACGTATAGTACACGACATAGTAGCCACATCTCACTTCCTCCCAATTTTTGATGACACTACACGCTCGCATCATAGCCACAAAGTCAATAGACTCATTCAACTCATTTCAAACAAGATAAAACCTAAGCATGAAAAATAAGAATACTAATCATATCATTCTCACCACATTTTAAAGAGAAAAACATCTCGGATTAGAACTTAATTCACAATTTTAAAGAGAAAAACAGGCCATTATATTCAGTTTTGATAAATTTATATCCATGATTTAAGGATCATACATATATTAAATCAAAATCAATCTTCTTCAATAATTCTTCCTGTAAATTCTGCAATTGCAACTATTACAGTAACTAATGGGAATTCTAGTAACATATTATTCGAATTTTGCATTCTATACAATGTTAGCATCATTCATTGACTCCAGAGTAAGATCATGATACCTTCGATTCGAACACTTGGTGATGAGGACTACTAAAGATTAGATTTCAGCTAGAACTCTACAGAGTTAATATACTGCTGGAAGGTTGGGTGATTATTTCATTATTTGATTAATAACATACACAAAAACTATGGACCAATTTAAGCTACAATTGCTATTAATCACGGCCCTAATAAGTTTAGTCCTGTTTTACCAAAGTTTATATGTCTAGCTTAAACATGTTCATTGTACCTGTCTTCTCGTACACAAAACAAAATGAAAATTGCAGTGCTATTATTCTCTTAAAATACGAAATGCAAAAACAGAATGCCATCAACTCATAATCACTTTATCAGTAAGTAGTAATTAACATCATCATTTCAATTTGAGGTAAACAATATCATACACAAAACAAAGGAATAACATTGTGTCATTATTTTGACTACTTCTCTTAAAATTCTTATTCGGTAATGAAGAACTAGATTATGCCGCTTCAATTGTAATTTTTTTTTAAACCTTCAATTGTAATGTTAAATTACCTTTAATATGAGAGAAATCAAGTAAGAAATTAATTATTACCTCAAATTATAGAACAACTAAACCAGAAAATTCACTGAATAACAATAAGATTAGAGTTAATCTAAATATAAGAGAGAGAAACCTTGACATTATCCCCTGCAATTCACAAACAACTCAACAACAAAATAGCTATCTGCAACAAATTGCCCACTACACTAGGCCAGACCACCGCACTCACCATCAACCACAAGCACCTGCTGCATATCTGCACCAAGTAATTCACTAATCTAACTTTATATCTAGATACGAACACTCGATCAAACAAGAAAAAGTCAATATAATTAAGCAATACTCTAGAAGTAATCTGATATAGAAACAAATACTTTATTTTTATAATAGAAAATCTACTAATTTTGTAATAAGAATCTATTATTACACTAAATCAATAATCTGACAAAATTCCAATCAACATATAACAAACTAAACAGAAATTCAACTATAACACCAAATTAATTTTTTAATTTCACGCCAAAATCAATACACACTCATGAAATTAAATTTTGACCCTACATCATCTACTAAGTTAAATTCCTTGTAAAATTAAAATCATTTCGCAACGCTAATTACAGTAAAATTGAAAACATCATATAAATCAATAGAATAAAACGATAATTTAATAAAATAGTTTAAATCAATCGAAATTAAATCATTTCGCACTTCTTATTACCTAAAACGATAATTTCGCACCTCTTATTACTGTCAACCATCTCCACTGCTTCCCCTGCTAACCATCAACAACAACACCAACAAGCAACAATCCCTTGCTAGCCTCGATGTAGAGTATTTCATCTCGACTATCAGCGGTTTTAATAGTTCGAATTTTGTGGGGGGTTTTGGTCGATTTTTGCTCAAAAATAGGGTGTTTTGCCTCGGATTTGCTTGAAAATGGGGGGTTTTGGCTTGGATATTCTGGGGTTTTCAATTACTGGTTGAATTTATTGATTTTGGGGTCAAATTTGTTGGTTTGGGGTCGAATTTATCAGGGTTTTGCTGTTGAATTCGCTAGGGTTTTGCAGTACGAACGACAACAAGGCAGCGCTGGAGATTCGGCTAGTTAGACGAATTTATTGAGGTTTTGATGTTGAATTTTAGGGGATTTTTCAGTTGAAGCTGATAGGGTTTTGAAGTTCGAACGGCGACATGGCAGCAAGAGTGTTTTATATTGAATGTGAGGAAGAGTTGAGTGGATTGTAATTGTAATAGTCATTTGCGTCACTCAATAAAGAAAGAAGTGACGCAATTTACTCACAAAGCTATTTGCGTCACCTGTCAATAAATGAGCGACGCAAATAACATTATCTTTTGCGTCGTTTTTATTTATGAAAGCGACGCAAATATGAGTAAGCTGAAATATATCAGACTTTTGCTTTGTAGTTAATGTGCGACGCAAATCACTTATAGTGAAGCTAAAATATATTATTTGCGTCATTTGTTTCTACGAGTGACGCAAATAAGGTGACGCAAATGAGCATTTTTCTACTAGTGGATTTAGATATGTGCAAGGAAGTATATTTCTATAAGGAAAAAAAATACCTTTTGAGTTGTGAGCTTGTGACTTATAAGGAGACAGTATATACCATATAACCATATGTGCATTGCCTCTAATCTCCTCCATAGTTTAAAATTCTCCATTAAAACCCTAGTTTTTTTTTTCCTCACTTTTTTCCTCCATGGCAAACATTAGAGAAAACTCAAAAGAGGCTTCGATGACTACTATGCGTTCAAACGATCGATACCATATATTAATCAACGAAATACTCCACAGATTACCCGCAAAATCACTATGCCGATTTAAGTGTGTTTGTAAACATTTGAACACACTAATTTCGAGTCCTGATCATCAATTTTCACCTCAACCTCGCCTTAGACGTCAATCACGTCTTCGTCTTTTGCTATGACTTTGACGAGGAGGAATGTATTTATAAAAGAAGTCTCTACACTTTCAATTTAGACGACGACGACTCTTCTAAAATTTCGAGCAAAAAACTACCTATTCCCTTAGGATTAAAATATACTAATTTTGATCATCTATTCTTTTTTGCTGGCTCGTGCAATGGCCTGCATTGCACGGTAAGAATGTCGTCGATATATGTAGATATCATTATATTTAATCCATCGACAGGGATTTATAAGCGTGTTGAAGTCACGGATTTGGCCTTCCATGGAGCAAGTAGCATACCAATAACAGAAGATAGACATTTTACAAAATTTGGGTTTGGATTTGATCATGTTAATGATGATTACAAAATTGTAAAAGTTACACGCAATTATTTAAATGATCTAGTAGGTTCGAAAGTTATGGTTTATAGTTTAAAGACAAATTCTTGGAGACGAGCTCAGAATTGTCCTAGATCATTGAATCGGGACGTGTACGATAGAACTGATGAGGCAGCCGTAATCGACAACCATTTACTTCATTGGCTTATAAGTTCACCCCTAGGTCCAGTGGAGACTGCTTGTTTCGATATATGTAATGAGACATGGAGGGAAGACATCGTGTGGCCTAACTCTTTAGTAACTTGTACTGGATCTCGTTCAGATCCACAATTAGGTGTTTTAGACGGGAATTTGTACTTGTTTTTTGAGATTTTATGTACAAATAAATTCAATATATGGGTGATGAAAGAGTACGGAGTGAAAGAATCATGTGTGAAGTTGTTTGAAATTGACTTTCATGCTATGGCAATTTACACTTATCATTTGAGGGTTCTTGGTTACACCAATAAATCAAAAGACCAGATTTTGGTTTGGGATCGTGACGACCAATTTCGTCTTGTTTGGCTTGACTTAAAAAATAACAATGTGAAAAGGGTGATGAATCTAAAGATAGACGGGTTTCCTACAAGTTCGATCATGGGTTATGTATGCAACGGAACCCTTGTTAACATTCCTGGTGGTCGACCGCTACCCATCAACAAGGTATGTATGCCTCATTTCTTTTGTAATTTTGTATAAAAATACCTGTTGATTCCAATAACAAATAGAGAAGATGAAAAGGAAATTATTTGATTGATGATCTCAATAATACAGTTGTAATATATAAGTCTAGCTTATTAACATCGATTATTATTTCTTTTTTTATCCAGGGATTCAAATTAAAAGATGTATTTGGATTCGGTAGTCGCCGAAGGGGTACTAAGGGTCGCTCTAATAATGCTTTGGCCAAACAACAACAACAAATGGATTTTAATCTTTGTGGACGACAAAAGAAAAGATTGATGAACAAATGGACGCGATGATGTTGTTTCGAAACAATGCAAGGAAGTAAGAAGGGAGGTGATATTGATGAACAAATGTGTGCTAATAATTCTTTATCAAAACAAGAAAGAAAGGTTTTTCAATTGATTATGATTATCCCCCTCAAAAAAAAACATAAAAAGAAGATGATTATGATTATTTATTAGTTTTGCTAAGTTTCTTACGAGTATTTTTATAAAAATCATACGAAGTACATTAGTATCTTCATTGTAACCTGAAGAATCTGGTCTTTATTAGTTTTGCAAATTATGGAGTATTTAATTGGTCATCTTTATTTTTGCTTTCGTTAAAGTATATTAATGCAACTTTTTTACGATTATTGCTAAATGAGTCTCGAGTCTTGTACTCTTGTTACTCTATTAATGTGATCATACTTTATCTTTATTTAAACTTTATCTTTTCATTTATTTGGTTGAAACATGCAAATGAACCATTTAAACCTAACTCTATTTAGTTTTGTTTGAGGAGGGTAAGAGTAATTGACTAAGGGTCTGTTTCAATTTAATGCAAACAACTTACTTCTAGAGATCAAACAAATATTCCGTTGGAAACCAGTACCCTTACTGCCTTACATAATGGTAATTGTTACCCAAGCCTTATAACCAAACACTTGATAACATATTAGGTACAACCTAACGTATATGACGAATTTATTAGAATATTCCTAAAACGATATATATTAAAAAATGGATAATAAACTAATTATTTCTAATCTTATTCATGACATATATATCACAAATTCACAATAATAAGATATAAAATATCTTAACATGTACAATGTACATACTTTGTACAGTAAGTTATATCTAAAACTTTAAATAATCCCAATCTAACTAAAACTCAAAATAATAAGGAAAAATTGTCCTTAATAATCCGACCTTTGGGGCGTCCGTTAAAAATAATCCCACTTTTTGGTTATTTTTAAATAATTCCACCTTTACACCTCTTCCGCTTTAAATGGTCTCAACCGGTCATATAACTTGTTATTACAAGTTACTAGACACGTGTCAGCTTATGATTGGTCAAAAAAATAAAATAAAATTATTTTTTTTCAATTAAAAATAATAAAAATAAAATAAAAACCCAAACCCAGATTCTGGCAGCCTTGCCACCGGCCCCAAACCCAGATTCCGGCCACCATATCCCTTCCCCTCCTCAATTCCGACCACCAACTTATTTCCCCTTCCCGATTCCAACTGCCCCTACCTCCCCCTCCCAGTTTCCGGCCAACCCGACCCCAGCACCCGCCCGAACATCTACTGCGCGTTGCTGCTTCTTCGCAAACGCGCCACTAGCCACCCACAACACCTACTCCTGCTGTTGTGCTGCTTCTCCTTCGTAACCGATCACCCCGTCCCCCGATTCCAGCCGCATCTTTGATGTGAATTCACTAATGTTTCAATTATATATAATTAGTGGGCTAGGTGTGAACTTTACAATCAATTCCCATCAAGTATATAATCAGTGGGCTAGGGCGGTGTGAATTTTTTCCGATCAAGTATACACACATGTTTCAAGCGGTGTGGGATTGGGTGGCTGGGTGGGATTCCGGTCAGCGGCGGTCAGTTTCTGGGTGGGATGATGGTTTCAAGGGTTTGGGTGGTGGTGGCTGAATTGGTGTGGCTTAGGTGGTGGTGGTGGTTTTTTTATTTTTTTTTTAAACTTTTTTTACTATTATTTATTTTTTTTTTAAATTTTTGACCAATCAAATAGCGACACATGTAAATTAATTCTTTTTTAAAAAAATTACCTACTCAAACGGTTCCAAGTAAAATGAGACCATTAAAAAAGATTAGGGGGTAAAGGTGGGATTATTTAAAAATAATCCAAAGGTGGGATTATTTTTAGCGGACGCTCCAAAGGTGGGATTATTTTGGGCAATTTTTCCAAATAATAATCCAATCTTAACTAAAATTCTTGATTTCCTATTAAAAAAACACTTGATTGTTATACCAGTTTTTATCTTAAGTTGTAAAATAATCCAAACCCAAATAAGACTAATGAAGTACTCCATTACAGTTTTACTTCATTAGTCTTATTTGGGTTTGGATTATTTTACAACTTAAGATAAAAACTGATAATACAAACCCAAGAGTAATTAAATCTTGAATTTGTGACTATACAAGCAGAGAATATTGTGGATAGCAAAACTGTAAAACAAATATGCATCGCCTCTAACCTAAACTCTTCCATATTTCTATATTCTCCATCAAAACTCTAAATTTTTATTTTCTTCTAGGTAAGCAGAACAGATGTTTTGGATGACTACTACACGTCGAACCAATCGATATCATATACTGATCAACGAAATACTCCACAGATTACCCGTAAAAACACTTTGCCGATTTAAGTGTGTTTCCAAACATTTAAACTCCTTAATTTCGAGTCCCCAATTCATCTATTTTCACCTGAATCACCCCTGTCATGCCTTAGACGACGTTGATCACCTCTTCATTTTTTCCATTAACCTCAACCTCGAGAGTAAATTATGTCTCTACACCTCGAACTTACACGACTGCTTAACATGTCCATACACTAAACTGAAGAAAGTAGCTCTTCCCATAAGAGCATTTAAGGATTATTCTTTCTTCTCTTTTGTTGGCTCATGCAATGGCTTGCATTGTAGTGTAAGGATGCCGTCGAATTGTTTAGATATCGTAGTATATAATCCATCGACAGGGATTTACAAGCATGTTGAAGTCGCGGATTTGGCCTCACCGATGACTTCAAATACTTTTGGGTTGGGGTTTGATGCTGCTAATGATGATTATAAGGTAGTAAGAATTATACACGATAGTTTAAATCATATAAACAAAATGGATGTTATGGTTTATAGTTTAAAGATGAATTCTTGGAGACAAGCTAAGAATAGTCGTACGATTGTATCATTTCCTTATCACCAAGGTAAGGAGGTTAGCGTAATAGACAACCATTTACTTCACTGGATTATAGAGACAACCCCGAGTCAATTGGAGATTGCTTGTTTTGATATTTGTAATGAGATATGGACGGAAGACATCGTGTGGCCTTACTCTTTAGTAATTGGATCGCGTTTAAAACCACAATTAGGAGTTTTAGACGGGTGTTTGTATGTGATTTTTAAGATTCCAAGTGAAAATAAATTGGATATATGGGTGATGAAAGAGTACGGAGTGAATGAATCATGGATGAAATTGTTCGAAATATCAAATCAATGTTTGGAACTACCAGTAAATATCATCTATGATAGTCCTTGGCGTTTAAAGCTTCTTTGTTACACCAATAAATCAAAGGACGAGATTTCAATTTGGGATGATGGCTTATCTAGTCTGATCTGGTTTGATCTAAAAAATAACAATGTAAAATCGATAAAGATGATACGTGGGTTTAAATTACCTAGACTTATAACCTCAGTTTATTTATGCAATGGAAGCCTTGTTAACATTCCTGGTGGTCGACCACTGCAAATCAACAAGGTATGCTTCTAAGCCTAATTGATATATGCAAAGAGAGTGAGATCGATTTGCTACAATTTATTTTTACTCTTGTATATATCATTATATTTTGGTTGTTATTAAATAAGCAATCATCTGTGTAATTTTTTGAAAAATCATAGGATATGTTTTAGTACATTGCAAAAATTTTAACAAAGTGATTAATTAAGTCTTCATAAACAGAGCAGATTAAATAATTTGGTACATTTAGCTAGGAATAAATTTATGCAAGGAATGTATCTTATCATGAGTACATGATGTACTTAAGTAAAATACTTGATACATTATATACATGTTCTATAAGATTACAATTATAAAACTAGTGTGTAACTCAGGCGATACACGAGATTGTTACTTTAACTAAACCTTGAGATTATATGTATTTTATATTAATGGTGCTTTTTTTTTTTTATTTAAATTAATCAGGACTGTGCAATTATATAAATTTATTTTCATGTAACATATGTTTGTTGGCTTGTTGCTATAATAATTTATAAGATTTTTTCTTCATATTTTATGAAGTTGTATTGATCTATTGAACTCCAGATGTAAAATTTTTAGCTAACACGGATGTATATTTTTCATTCAGGGATTCCGTTTTTCTTTGAAAGAGGTATTTAGAATAGCTAGTCGAAAGTTCACTAAGGGTTGTTGGTTGCCCTAATGCTTTACCCAAACAGCAACAAAGGGAAACTAATCTTCATGGATGACAAGGGAAAAGATTTGACGATAAAGCAAGTGGACGCGCTGATGCCTTTGCAAAACAAGGAAGAAGGGCAGGGATGCTAATGTACATTCACAAATGATATTGATGAACAAATGTGTGCTAATTCTTTATCAAAACAAGCAACAAGAAAGTTTTTAGTTTTGTTTTTGATTTGTTATTTGTAGCTTCACCATCAAAAAGTTTCTTATTTTTTGAGGTTTGTGACAATCTGCATCATTACTATTTTGCTCATATGTGGTTGGCTTGAATATCGTTATAGATTTTTAGATCCAAAGTAAAGTTTCAAATATGCAATTATGCATGATAACACATACAAAGATACTATATTCCAAAGTAAAGCTTCATGTATATATGCAATTATGCATGATAACATAATCAAAGATAATGTATTCTCAAGTAAAGCTTCATATATGCAATTGTGCATGATAGCATCACAAAATTTACAACCAGGAGTACCGAACCGAACTACAGATGACTGAATGTATAAGATTCATTAGCATGAGATAGCATAGTTGATTAAAATCAGTGATAACCAAACAAGGGCTAATGCATTAGATCTAACCTAAGAAGCTACTCAAGTAATTACACCAAAAACATAATTATCCTGCCAAATTCACCAGACTGTAAGATTAACACTGAACCATTTGCTCATCCACTATCCCACCTAAGATCCTTCATCACTTCCATGATTCCATCAATCACCCCCGGAACAGGAACAAGGCTTTCAATACAAAGCTTAACATCGCGAAGCTTAAGGCTTCTCGGAATCTTTTGTTCAGCCTTTACACTTTTCCTCCTCAAATCGTACCAGCAAAGGCCATCCTCATCAGCTTTTCTCAACAAAACTTCATCTCCTCCTTTGGAAGAAGCTAGTGGAGAACTCAACAACGGACCAACTAAGCTAGCCTCAGTGACATTAAACAATTTAGTCCAAGAATCTTCCGCACCATACTCTTTCATAACCCAAACATAAGCATTGTCAAACTCAGGGCAAATTCTAGTCACTATACACAAACATTCATCCAAAACACCTAAGGCAACGATATCATTACTCTCGAACTCAGCCTTAGACAATGTATCATTACCATCATCATCCTCAGGACAGTCTATTTTCTCAGTTCCTCTGAAATCCGGCAAGGCCAATTTAGTCCACTTAAAGGAAGACAGATCAAACCCGCGAAGCCGAGGCTCTCTTTTCCTATACTTCCAGAAAATCCAATGAACAATACAGTTATTAATCACTGCACCAGAGCAAAACCATTTCATCTCATCACCAAAATATGCAACATGAATCATTTTCCAACAATTCTCTTTCAAACTATACACCATAACTTCCCTGTATATGAAACCAACACTACATTCATCACTGCTATCACCATCACTTCCATCACCATCATTCTCACCATCGACATCGACACCGCCATCCTCATTATCACCATCACTACCATCCTCATCTTCGACAAGGTCATTGCCACCACCATTGACATCGAAATCGACATCATTGTCACTGCCACCACCACTTCTACTATCATCCCTATGATGAAAATAATCAACAATTCTAACAATCTTATAATCATCATTTCCACAATCATACCCAAAACCAAAACTAACACCCATAAACTCAGAAGACAAATCACCAACAACAGGAATACAAGGCAGTATAAAATGGGAATTCATAGAAGGGTTCCATAAAATAAACTTAAACAATTGAGGATCATCAACATTTCTACAAACCAAAGCAATTAATCCATTACAACACCCACAAATCGAAACCTCAAAACCAGAAAAAGAACTGGGTAAATCAAACCTTGTCAAATCGATTTTAGCATCAAGCTCAGAACCCCACTTCAATGGCGTCGATTCCAGGTGAGTTCCATAGTTGAGGATAAGAAGACGACGGTCAGAGGAGAGAGAATGAGCGAGGTGAAGTCCGATAAAATGGGTGCTGCTGATTATGGAATTCCAAGCTTTGGAAACACATTTGAAGCGAAGTAGTGATTTAGTGGGTAATCGGGTAAGAATGGAGGTGATTAACTCCATTGGAAGGGACGCCACTGTTGTGGATTTCGAGAAAACAGAGCAAAAATCAATAAAAATGGTGGAAAATGGAGAGAAAAAGGAGGTGTTTTTATAAAGAGAGATTGAAATGGGTTAGTTTTGTTTGCCTTGAGTATCACGGCTTAACTACCCCTCAAAATTGCAAAACCCCTAAAATGTAGGGAAATTGGGTAATTTGGGCCTTTTTGCAAAATAGAGTGGTGGGATATGGTCGGATGGATCATAAATGATTAAATATAGGGCCTATTCTCATACGACTTCTAATAAGTTTAGGGGCCGTTTGGTTGGGGGTATTCAGGAAAGGGAATGGGAATCAATCACCCCGATTCCCTTTGTTGTTGTTTGTTAAGCACTTTATTTCATTCCCTTTACCCCCTTCATTCCCCCAAATCCCTCTAACTCCATTCCCCACCCCCCTAGGTATTTCCATTCTATTCCCTACCCACCTTCACACCACCACATCACCACCTTCACACCTACCAACACCACCGGAAACCAGCCCACCTTACCACCGCCGACACTACCCCGACCACCGCTGCCCCTCCCCCGACCCTCGCCGCCCTCCCCTACCCCGCAAAATATCCCACAGCCCCCACAAAACCCCTCCCTATCCCCGTAAAACCGCCGCCCAGCCCTCCCACCACCATCGCCGACCCTTCCCTGAGCCTCGCCGCCTGTCCCCTTCCCCGCAAAAGCATTCCTCCGCCACTTCCTAAACCCCTCGTCAATCTAGGGTTTTTTCGATTAGGGTTTTTTCGGGGCCGTGGAAGGTTTTGCGAGGGGCGGGGATGGCCGGAGAAGGGAGGCGAAGGGTAAGGGAGGTGCGGCGACTGGTTTGGTGGTGGTTCGGTGGTTGGAACGTTAGAGAATGAATGTTAGTGGTGGTTGTGTGGTGGTGGGATAGGTGGGTCTTATTCCCTTTGTTTTTAAAACAAACAACACCCCAAATTTTAGGTATTTTCGTTCCATTCCTTCTCTTTCCCTTTGTTCATTTCATTCCGATTACCCCGTGCGAACCAAACGGCCCCTTAGTTCAATTCAAATCTAATAAGTTCAGTCAATCAGAACAGACTAGATTCTGTAGTTCCGTAATGGTTTTTTTTTCCCCTCCCTTTGGGCTAATTTGGATTTAGGATATGTTCTGGGTGATTAAGTTCCAGGCCAGTCCCCTTCCAATTGTTGCTGTGGGAGATCGAATGTGGGTCCTTCCTACCAAGTTTAGTCTCAATTACCACTACACCAATATCCAATTGGTAGTCCCGTAATGCTACCTCGCTCAGAAAGTATGGTTGATTGTTTGATCATCGTATCCGGTACCCGTACCAACATGAAATACATTACTACGCATTTTATTTTAATGGTATACGCATTATTATATGGATATAGGCATATAGCTAATATACTAGATTAGACCCGTGCGATGCACATATTGAAAAAATTATTAGGATGCGATAAATTGTTTCAATTATTTTCCCGTACATACTAATAAATTAGATCATAAAAACATATCTTTCATAACAAATTATTTAGTAATAAAATATAAAAATGAAAGTCAATCTGATCTAATCAAACCATATGCATAGGAATTATATATCTAAGAGTTCGAAATACACATTAAAAACATGTAACTTAAATAAATTGAAGCGATGTAATATAAAAAAAATTAAATAAATTGAAGCTCATTGGAAATACTACGAAACAATATAATGGTAACATTTAAGGACAACATTAGTTTATTTTTTATAACAAACATCCATATTATTACATGATTTCATAGCTAGGTAGCTTGCACAAATGCACATTCCTTAGTTTACACACACATAAATAACAATAAAACCTTTTTTTTTTTTTTTTTTTTTAAAAAGGTCGTATTTACCTAAAATGTTTTAACTCAATATCAATTTGTTTTTCCAATAAAAAAAAATATTTATGATACAATCAAAGATTGAAATAAAAATGTTAGAAATAACGAATTCCTTATTTCAAAAAAAAAAAAAAATCTTAAAAAAAACTAAAAATATATATGACATCATAAGTGCATTAGGCGGTAAATTTTTTTTATAAGAGAGCGACACGTATTCAGTTTGAGGAAAGGATGATATTAGCAATCTTCTGTTTTAGTAATAGTTAATAGATTTCATAGTTCGCACTTGATACTTCGGAAGCATGATTGATCATTATATTCGTATCAACACTAGTTATTTTAGTTTAATTACTTTTAACACACTTTGTTTTCAATTTATATTCACTTTGATAATTTTTTTTTTTAATTTTTTTGAAGGAACTTTGATAAAATTTTAAATTATTCTTTTCATCAAGTTTTGATAATTTTTTTTTTATATAAAATACTCTTTTAATCGATATTTTTTATATAAGTAAATAATAATAATAATAATAATAATAATAATAATAATAATAATAATAATAATAATAATAATAATACAAGTAACAATTTTATATCACATAGGAACCTTAGCATTGATAATTTTTTTTATTTTTTTATTTTTTGAAGCAAGCATTGATAAATTTTTTGAAACAATATAAATGGGATATTTTTTAAAAAAAATGGAAACTTTCCTTTCTTCCAGCAACAAAAAAATAATAATAAGAAGAAACCCTTTTACTTTAACTAAAAGATATAAACCCTTGCCTTCGGGCTGTGATTAATAAAAAAAAAAAAAAAAATATTAACCCTAATCACATCATCAATTCCTTAGCAGAAATCCAATTGATCAATGGCAAACATTCCCATAGACATATTAGAATCAGAAATACTGATTAGATTACCAATTAAATCCCTTTGTCGATTTAAGAGTGTTTCAAAATCTTTCAAAACCCGAATCTCAAGTCACAAATTCATAACCCTTCATCTCCGTCATTCACTCAAATCGAACCATATCTTCATTCAAGTCTATGGCAAACAAGGTCTCTACGCATTGGACTTGGCATCTTCTAACTATTCTACCGTCAAACTCCCTTGTTATGTCGAAATATCTAACGGTATAATCATCGGCGATAACGACAGTTGGGTAGGATGCTGTAACGGCTTACATTGTTTTGCAAACATCAAGACATCAGTTTATGTAGTGTTCAATCCATTTACTGGAAGTTACAATGAAATATCCGGTCCAACTGGCCGAGGCCGGGAATCGATAATGATATCTGGATTTGGGTACGACGATGTAAAAGATGATTACAAGCTTGTCACGTTCAAACCTGTTTTCGATACAGGTTACTGGTACTGGGAAATATATGTTTACAGCTTGAATGCCAATTCTTGGAGATACACCGGAATTATACTAAGAGGTATAACTATGTCTTTTGAACAGGCTGTTGTTATTGACAACCATCTATTACACCTGATTTTCTCTTCTGAAAACATCACCAGGATTGGTTGTTTTGATATTCGTACTGAACAATGGAGCGTACTACAGGTACCTGACTCCATCAAGCCTGATATCTATCGATGCCTGCCCAAGGTTGGAGTTTTCGATGGTTGCTTGTATTTACTCTCCGAATTTGATATAAGAGAGACTGAACTATGGGTCATGAAAGAGTATGGAGTGAAAGAGTCATGGATGAAGTTGCTTAGTGATTTCAAATTCGAAGACTTTACACCACTTGGTTATTCCAAAGGATCGAGAGAGGAGATGTTACTGTGGGACTTGTACAATAGTAACCTCGTCTCATATAACATTAGATATAAAACAACAAAGATAACTGACATCAATGGAGTCACTGGTTATTCTGACAATCCGCTTGTGAGTAAATCATTTGCATACTTCGCTAACAAAACCCTTGTTAGCGTTCCCGGTGGTAAGCAAGCTAGCTATAATGGCAGATGTAGGGAAATATAAGTAAGAAATTCTTAATATTGCTTTCTATTTATTTATTTATTTGCTTAAGCTTGTAAACTTGATTCATTTATTTTTTGCTGGTTCATGTTTGTCTATACTATTGTCAAGCTTTGATTAAGCCACTCGAGGTTTGCGATTAGCTTACCTTAATCACAAAGATAAAATTGAAAACAGATGTAGTTGGAGCATAACTGAGCTTGGCTACTTTAATAATGGATAAATAATGATAAACATAAGATTGATTTTGAGGGGGAAAAAAAAAATTTATGATTAAATTTCAGAGGAAACGATACAGGGGAATCTGTAGGCATTCAATTCAATCTAATTTTATGATTATCTAGTACGGAGTAACACATTTTCTTCCCCCTCTTCTTTCAGCTTATTTGTATTATGTTCACAAGATATAGGAATAAAGGAACACCTAAAGTGGTTTTCAACCCAGCAAGACGGCCATGGTAACCACTAGCAGGCACCAGGGAACCTACCTTATAACCGTCATGCACCTAATACAGGATTTAATACAAGGCTCTAACTCTCTAAGCACATACAGAGCCACATTATACTGAAAAGAAAGATCTATACCGCAAACATATACTACGTATAAGGCTTCCTTATGCATATGGAAACTCTTCTGAATCTACCCACAGGCCACAGGTCTATAAAAAGCAAGATAGCCATAAAATAGTTAATGATATGACTTGAAATTGCAGATTCAGCTATAAGTCAGACTATATAATATGAAGCTACGTTACAGTTTCAGTTAGGACAGTATGAAAACTTTGGAAGGCAGCCTCAACATATATAAATATAAGTAAGACACAGGATTAACTAAGGAGAGAGGTATCTAATAGCTCCTTATATGTCCTGCTTCTTCTAAATTTTCACAGAACACAATTTGTGCGATATGGAGCCAAACTTAACATGAAATACTAACTATGAATGTGACAGTGTTGTATCTATATCATATATTCATATTGAGAGTATATAGCTCGTACCAAGAAAAACTTGCCCTGTTTCATGGTGAACACGAGAGTAGATCTGTAGCTGGACTCGTACCATAAGGAACAAAGGTAAGATGCATAAGTTGACAGCAAACATATGTAAGAATCATTATTCACACTGAGGTATGTAAAACGATCAAAACTTTTTTTTTTTCATTCCAAGAGAGAAGCTCCTCAATCTTTAGTGAAGATTTAGGAGTATTACTCGTCTACTACACATCACAAGTTCACAACCAAACTACAGAAAACTATATAATGAAGATTCAGAACAAAAGAAAGCATAAAAGATAAAAAAAAGAGGCAACCAAACAAGATCTTATGCATCAGGATCCATCTAATCTCAGAAGCAACTCAGCTAGCTATGACAGAAACATGATATCCTCCAAATTAACAAACTACTACTCCACTAGATAAGCACCCTATGAAACGAGAAGATATCACTCACTCTTTTGCCTCATTTGCTGAAGAATGTTCATTGCTATCCTCATTGCAATAGGAACGAAGCTTTCAACACAAAGGCTGAAATCATGAAGCTTAAGGCTGCTGGGAATAGTAGGAGCAGCTTTGATAGTTTTTTCCCTCAGATTATAGCAGCAAAGGTCACCCTCATTTTCTCTTCTCAGCAGAACTGCATCTCCTCCTTCAGAACAAGCAAGTGGAGCACTCAACAAAGGTCCGACAATGCTGGCCTCGGTGATATTAAACAATTTAGTCCAAGACTCTTCAACACCATACTCTTTCATGAGCCAAACATAGACATTATCGAACTCAGGGCAAATTCGAGTCACTAAGCATAAGCATTCGTCTACAACCCCTATTACAACGAAGTCATCAGGTATATAGCCATAACTAGACCGCGAATCATCATCAGAGCTATAACCCTTTTTCCCTGATCCTGTGAGATCAGGCAATGCCAAATAATCAGTCCATTCTAAGGACGAGAGATTAAACCCTCTGACCTGAGGCTTTCTCTCAAGACAGTTCCAGAACATCCAATGAACTACATTGTTGTTAATCACTGCACCAGGGCTATCCCACATCATCTTATCATATATACAACCTAAAATATGATGTATATACCATTGATTCGCTCTCAAGCTATAAATCCTAACTTCCCTGAATATATAACCAAACTTGCACCTATGACCACTCCCATCACCATCATTACCGCCGCCACCACCACCACCACCACCAATATCACCACCACCGCTATTGATACTACCATCATCACCACCACTACCACTACCACCACCATTACCACCACCACCGCTATCGATACCACCATCATCACCACCACTACCACCACCATTATCACCACCACCGTTATCTATACCACCATCATCACCACTACCACCACCAACATCACCACCACAATCGCAACCATCCTCACAAACAGAATCATCAGGATGGAAATAATCAGCAATAGTCACAATCCTATAATCATCTCTATCAAAAGCATACCCAAAACCAAAATTGATATTGATAAAATCCGGAGCCAGTTCTTCATTATGAGGGGGATGAGGAAGTATGATATGGGTATTAGTAGATGGGTTCCATAACATAATCTCAAACAATTGAGGATTATCAACATTTCTACAACTCAAAGCTACTAATCCATTACAAGACCCAGAAATCGAAAACTCGTAACCAGAAAATGAAGTGGGTAGATCAAACCTGGAGTAAGTAGTAGCATTAGCTGAAGGGTCGAACTCGGAGTTCAGCTTTAATGGCGTCGTTTCCAAGTGACTGCCATAGTTGAGAATAAGGAGACGATTGTTGGAGGAGAGAGATTGAGCGAGGTAAAGTTTGAGGAAATGGGAGGTTTTGAGTAGGGAATTCCAATCTTTAGAAACGCATTTGAAGCGAGCTAGTGATTTTGCAGGTAATCGGGTAAGAATGGAGGTGATTAACTCCATTGGAAGAGACGCCATTGTTGTGGGTTTAGTGAGAAGCAGAGCACAAAAATACGAAAATGCCAAAAATAATTGTCTGAGAATTAGTTTTGTGAATTGGCTGTATTTGTACACACACCTGAATTTTGGGCTTTGTTGGTGGTCTTGGAATTTAACTTGGACTAATAGTCTACAACTCTACTACACAAGTCACAAATTTCACAATTACACTTATTTATTTATTTATTTATTTTATTTTAATTTTTTTTTTATTATTATTATTCTTTTGGACATTTTATAGAGGTATAGAACATTAGAACTTATAGATGATTAGATGGTAATGGTGCCCAGATCGAGTGGATGTTGGCTAATTTAGTTACGACTTGAATTTGTTGTACAATCCGTATCTATTTGTACATTCTTGAATTTAGGGCTTTGTTTGATTAAACTTAATTAACTTGGACTATGGATTACTAGCTCACTACACATGTTTACACGTCAAGAATTTAAGGGCATAAATGTGATTATGGTATGTCGTATGTGGATCAATGGATATCGGCTCATTTATCTACTCTTTTTTTTTCGATAAAATGTCTTACCTTGACTTATGCTCTATCGATACATTGACCTCCATATATATTTAATATATGAGATTAAAAGAAGTCATTGTAAATATTTATTAGAACTGTATGTCTCAATATAAAGTTTCCAAACATCAAATTTTTATAATTTATACTTATTGATAATTAATGATATTATTAGTCAAAATTTTGTAGACATTTTTATCTTAAAATAAAGAAAATATGTCTTTTTTTTTTTTTTTTTGAGTTGATCCTAAGAGCTCATAAAAGCGGGAGGAAAACTCTAACCACTTGAGCTATCCCTCAGAAATTGTGTCTTACTTTATTCATTCTTGTAAAATAAAATGATTAACGGTAGTGTATGGGGTAATTACAATGAATTATTGTAATCTTATATTTTTGCATTTGTATAAGTGGGTTTGTAAAGGAAGATGCATGTCCTTATTACTAATCTTAATTCTCAATGTTCTTCTATGTTCTATTTGAATTTCTCGTGCATTTTTGTGCATGAGGAATAATGTAGCTCGTTTTAGAAAGCTTTGAAGTAATCCAAAGTCATGTGTTATCCACGTATTTTTTTTTTTTAAAAAAAAAAAGAAAAAGTCTTGTGTCATCCACGTATTTTAAATACTCCATAGAAAAATTGATGTTTACATTAATTTTATTAAATAACCTTTGAATATGATGAAGTTTGTAGTATTACACAAGATATAGGGTGACCCAGAAGCTTAATTACGTCAGAGACAAGGTGGTCTATTATTTCATACTTGTACAAGCAACTAATTAATATGGAGTAAGTTGATTCTAAGTGGGCAAGATAAATAAGCAGGTTCATTATTCAATGGATAATAAATTAACAAGAAGAAAATATGAATAATGAACAAATGTTGACATATATATCACTTTCAGCCTTTACATTGGCCAAATACTACCGGAGTATTTCGTCTTGCTGTGAATAAATTAAAGTACTACTCCATCCATTTTTAAAAAATTATCTAACATTTTCGCTTCACTTATTTAAGAAGCACTCAAGCAACTAAGCAAGTACGGTACAATTTTGTGCATATGAGTGAGCATTTAAGAACTGGAGAAGAGAGAGAAGAGCAAGTGAAGTGAAAATGTAAACGGGAATTATCAGTCAAGGCATGGTGCAACTTTTTTCGAGTATATTCAATAATCTTTTTGAGACGAAGGGAGTAGTACTACTATGTTATAAGTTACTTATTTATTTATTTATTTTGTAAGGTAAGAAAAAGGAAAGAATTAGGACCCATCCTCACAAGGGGCGATCCTAAAGCATCTGAGGTGAGAATGGGAAAATATAATACACATATATTCCAATAATATTGATAGTCTTTGCACCCAAAAAAAAAAAATATTAATCATCTCATATCTTTAAAGCAATATATTTTGACTCTAATTAATTATGAACAATCTCAAAACTCAAATAACAAATCAACAACCCAACCAATTATAAATCACAATTCACAATAGTGCTAAAATAGCAACAAAAACTTTCCATACGTCTTTTACATTACAAATTGTCACCATTTATATTTCTTTTTAAAAGGGCTCTTTTTCATTACAAGCCATAAATCCTAAACCAACCAACCAAAATCACATATTTTTCCTCTCAATTACACAACAAAAACCTATAAATCTTAATTTCATGTACTTCATAATACAAGAAAACAAAATAAGTCAATATCAATTTCCATTCAGAGGACACGTTTGGCATTCCAAATAAAAACAAGGCCCACATTAAAAATCTTCATACTTTATATACAATTATTTCCCGGTAATCCAAACACGCCCTTAACAAATTTTCCGCCATTGTTAAATCTTCTCTATTTTCTCTCTCCTAAACCTTTGGAATCCCTTCACATGGGAGCTGCGACTATCTCCGACGGCATGGAAGTAGCTTCTCAAGCTCCAGTTAATGGAACCTCTGATGTTCTCTCTTCTTCTCTCTCCGTTGATACTTCTCTTCCTCTTCCCGCCATGAAACCTCGCGTCATGTAACTCTTCTTCCTCTTCTTTTAATTTCGTTTTTTTACTTGTAAAATTAGGGTTTTAACGATTCAGAAATCTTTAAATTTCTTTAGTTGCTGCATACTTCTGAATAATGTGATGTGATTTCTGGAATCTGGAAGATGAAATTTAATTTGATGTATGACTGATTAAGTATGAGTTTGATTTGATTTGACTGATAAATTGTGGTTTGATTTGAATTAATTTGATTTGATTCAGAGAATTGTGTAAGGATATATTTGAGAAATGGTCGAATTTGGATGATTCATGCTTTGCAGTAGATACTGTTGCTGGAGGCATCACCAATCTTTGTAAGTGACAGAACTTATCTTATTTTAGTACTTACTTTTTAGCTGCTGAATTAGAATATACTGCTAATATTGGACTTTATTATTGCAACACTTGGAGTTTCACCTTTGGTAATGACATAGGCTACATGTTATGTGGAAAGAAGCTTATTAATTTGGAAAACAAGAAAAAGGTGTGAAATAGAAATGACTTTTGATTGAATCTCTAAAGATATCGATAATTATATTATGGATGGGAGAATATGACGATTTGAAAATGACACAACTATTATAGAGGGTTTAATTTAGTCATATTGTGGCATATCTTTAATTATAAGGAGTTTGGAACAAGGTTATAAAAGGGGGGTATCACACTAGATTGGCTCATTTGTTGGAGTAAATTTTGGGTTGATGTAGTGAAAAATATCCTTTTGTCTGACATTTGTTTTAGTGCTGAAGGTTACGGTCAAGGAGGAGGACGGCAATGAGGTGTCCATTACGGTTAGGTTGTATGGGCCAAACACCGACTATGTTGTCAATCGGGAGAGGGAACTACTGGTAGGTCTTGTACTATTTTCCCTTATTGCTTTTAGTGAAATTTAATTTTAGTAAAGCTTTGATTGTTGAGCAGATCACTTATAGTGATGCAAAACATGAAAATATGAACCGCAGAGTGCAGAGAGAATAAGCTGTCTTATCTGAATTCACATTTTTTTTTTACATAAATGTCTTTCCTGATGGATTATTTGTGTATTGTGAAGCATGATGTTAGATGAATCTATTACTTGGGTGACGGTAGCTTTAAATAAACATGGGTTCACAGTTGGGTGAAGGTAGCTTTAAATAAACATGGGTTCACAGTTGGGTGAAGGTAGCCGTAAATAAACATGGGTTAACAGTTGGCAGATAAATATTTTCTAAGTGATTTTTGGGAAGAATTTCACACTTTTCAGTGTTATAAGGTGCTTTTAAAGGCAGGTTTCACTACTTGGATTATGGGTATCATAGGTGTATTATAACCCTCTCTTTAGAACTGTGTCCTTCATGTCTTTTCTGTGCACTGAAGGATCAACATTTTCTGCAGGTCATGTATTCTTTTTGGGAAGTATTATCTTGGTTTTCATGGCAAAAAACATGGAATTTTATGGGTTGTAAAATGCATAGTTTTCGTCCAGTTTTGAAAAGAATTTTAGGGACAGTTTGACTTGAGTGCAACATCTATTTTGAGTTATTGATTTATTTATTTTTCGGTGGGAATTTTGAGTTATTTTTGAGCTGATACAATTTTCTTTCATGCATTATCTTACATCTCTTCTTCTCTAGAATAGCTATTTTGTGCTGATATGGTTACTTTATCTTAAGTTCTTTTTGCTGTGTCGCATTGCATGTTCGATAATTGATTCATTAATGCATATTGGTTATAGTCTATTAGATACCTCTCAGCTGCAGGATTTGGGGCCAAATTGCTTGCGCTTTTTGAGAATGGCATGGTTCAATCTTTCATCAATGCAAGGACACTTACTCCACCAGGTATGTATAGACTCCCTAATTCTCTTTAATGCTATTGCTTCATCTGTATGATCCAGTTTTTGGGGCTCTCTACAATTATAGTTTTTTGCACCCCAACATCTTAGAACATAAGTGGCTTGAAAGCTTAGAAAGGCCCTCAAACATAGCTTACTGATTTTTCTGACATCCTGTCTACAAAGATTACTAGCTTGTTGAAGAACAGGGAAAGAAATGTGATGGTGACATAGGTTTGTACTTTGTTGAATATATGCTCTTCTGCTTCAAATCCTAACATGTTGCTGGGTGTATTTTTCCTTAAGAGTTCTTTGTACTTTTGTAGGAAACAAATGGTAGATTGTGGTTCTGAATGTTAGGTCTTGTCTCTATCTGGGTACCATACCAAGTTTATTGTAGAGATTCTGGGTTTTGGTGGGTCTTTCTGAAAACAGGCAGTGGTGTATCTGTATTGGCTATTGCTCCTTCCCTTGGGTATGGATGGGGAGACTGGAAATGCATAATCTTTATGCTTGTGTAGTTCCTAACTTTTTTCTAATTTTTCTCTCTTCCTTTTTTTTTTTCTTGTTCAAATATTGGGCAGACATGAGGGATCCAAAGCTGGCAGCTATGATAGCTAGAGAGCTTAGGAAATTTCATGAAGTGGAAATCCCTGGTTCTAAAGACTCCCAGCTGTGGATTGACTTGTCGAAGTTCTTTGAGAAAGGTTTGTTCTTGACTGGTTCACTACTAAAACTTGTTTTATACTTGATTAGCTGGTATCCCGGCTTGTCTGCTGGTACTCCAATTTGCAAAAAGATTACGAACGGAGCAGTTTTTTCCTATGTCGTTTTAATTTCCCAATTACTCATTTAGATAACCCGGCCACTTATTTCATTAGACGTCTTGGTTCTCTATATAATTCGTTGGCACTTAATCTTTGTGCTAATCCACATCTAAATTGCTTTCATTTACTCCACTTTTGAATATGACTATGTTAAACTGACTATATGTGGGGTTTGAAGGGTTCATGTCATATTCCCCAAAAGTTCTTGGATGATTTGCAGAGAATCATTTGGACATATGCTTTTCTTGCTCCTCTTTTCCTTTCATTTTGTATAAGTAACTTTCTCTGCACCTGAAGTTTGAACTGCTCTGTTTATTCCCTGAATCCCCCCCCCCCACATCTCTCTCTCAACACACATTAGAAAGTGAAAGAGAGGTTTTAAAGTCCCTTGTTTGAAGCTGAATTACTAGTGTATAGATTTCATAATGGACCTTTTTTTTTTTTTTTTTTTTTGGTGAAGTTAGCTTTTAAGCCCCATGTCTAATCTTCAGCCGTTTGTTGCAGCATCTAAACTCAAATTTGATGACAATGAGAAGCAGGAGAAATATCAAACCATCTCATTTGAAGAAGTTCAGAATGAGATTAATGAGCTTAAGGTAACCTAATCTCTCTGTGTACCATTCATTAACTTGAAACTTTTTTACAACACTGAATTTCATACAGAACAATATATGCTCCTAAAATTTTGCACAGTATATGGTCATCCATGTATATTATTTTGCAGATTATCTGCTTCATTCTTAGGATATAGGTGTCTATTAACCTACTTTTGAGTTGCTGAAGTGAAAAAGATTTAGATGTAATAAGATGTTCTTGAAGTGCAACATGCCTATCAAAATGCTGTTCATCATTGTGAAGGTTGACAGTCTCAACACTGTATCATAATTAGGAAATGGGATATGTTCCTTCCCTCAGCTCAAGGCCTTTATGGAGTTTTTGCTTTTATTTTGTGCATCCGATAATTTGGATTAATCACTAATGGTACACTACTTTTTTTGAACAACTTTGTGCACATATGATCTTACAGATATTGCCAAATTTACCAAAACCTTTTTTTTTTCAACATCCTCTAATTTTCTCTCCTGGTTGAATGGGTGAAGCCCATAAAATAAGTACCTTCATAAAAATTTTGGCAGCCCAGTAGCAGATATGCTTGTTTCTCTATATTATTCATGGAATTGGTCAGTGGCTCCCCACTTTTCTCTGACAATCTTTACTAGCTCTAGGTGTTTAATCTTGTTCTCACTGAGGTTTATAGGCCTTCCTGTTTTAAACAAAAGCATTTATGCAGTTCTATGAAACTTAAAGTTCTGTGCTGTCAAAACATAGCCTTAAGTATCTGATTTAGTAGATACAAATGAAGCTAAATTAGAACAAAATTTAAACCCTATTCACTTCTTCTTCCTTTTTTATCTCCTATATATCATTCGGCTTAATTACATTCTTGGCTGCTTGAAAAGGTGTAGTTATAGAAAGCTAAACATGCCAAGGGGGTCCCTCTTTCAATTGACTGACTTTGGGATTGCGTGTTGCTGGCTAGCTTCCTTTAAAGATGTGACTAAATTTGTTTTCACATACATTTTCCAGTTGGGTTTTAAAATTATGGGCTAGTTTACAATGTATTCTGCCTTTTTTGAGGATTCTTTACGAATCTTAGGATATAACCTATTTCGTTATTTATTCGTCTTCTTTGAATGTGCAAAATTTTGCTAGTAATACTTTCTAACTTTATGTCAGGCACTAACAGACTGTCTTGATGCTCCGGTGGTATTTTCTCATAATGACCTGCTTTCTGGGAACTTAATGTTGAACGAAGAGGAAGGTACTTTAGTAATATGCTCTGTATCGAATAAAATTGCCCAAATTATATTATATTAATTGCTCCCTATTTACTTGTTTTTGTTGTAATATTTTTATTACTGATTGACAGGGAAGCTGTACATAATAGACTTTGAGTATGGCTCATATAACTACAGAGGTTTTGATATTGGAAATCATTTCAATGAATATGCAGGCTATGACTGCGATTATACCCTGTACGTAACATATCTATTTTTGTAAACTAGCATTAAGTTATGTAGTAGACTATCATTTTGATGCCTTTCTGTGTGTACAGCTAATATTGGAATTTTGTGTTCTTGTAGATACCCTAGCAAGGATGAGCAGTACCATTTCTTCAGGCACTACTTGTGTCCTAATGCACCAGAAGAGGTAAGTACAGATGGCAAGGTGCCATTATCCTAAGATGTTTTGTGCTTCCACACATCTTGATCATCTCCTCCATGATAATTGGTATTTTTGCTGTTTGTCCTGTTTTTGGTGGAATTTTTGGCATTTGCACTGCCCATGGATGATTATGTCACTTTAGCCTAATCTCCTCCCCTCCAAAAAAAAAGGGTTTATAGGTTGTCATAAAATCATATGTGCGCTATATGATGTCCTGTGTGCACTTCTCCTCATCTTTGTCCATGTCCTAATGCAATAACAGTATTACCCTCATTTTTACATCTTTACTTATATATTGCTCTTTTTGAGCACGCATAGGGGTAGCCTTCATGATTGCAAGGATTTTGACCTTTTGGGAGTTATGTGAAATATTTTGTATGCATACTGTACCACTTGACTTGAAATTTAGAAGATGAAGATATCTATCATATGGAGTACATCATGTAGACAAGGTAAATAATGATGCTTTTTTTTCAACTTTAGTGATATTAGTGAAATTCAGCCTCCATCTTCCAAAAGACCTCAAAAGAAGATTTTCTGCTGCGTGTAGTATGAAGGACCAGACTAGAAACTAATAATGGAGATAATCATTATTTTAGGCATCCCATGTTGCTTCACTAGGAGTCATTTTTTCAGTCCAATGTTCTATGTGGTCTGCTTAGTAGGTCTGAAATTTTATCTGTCCTGTCTCGTTGCAGCACAGGAAACAGACATTTGTTTTAAAAACAGGCTTTTTCATTGTGGTTGTGGGAAGTGCTTAGGGCTTTAATGTCAGGAAAGGAAAATTCTTGAGGATCTTGAACAGTAGTGCTCCCATGTTCTCTTTGTTAGGAGTATAGGTTCTCTGATTAAAGTATTAAACTACTGAAATGGTATTGAAATTATCAGATGGCTTTTGTGAAACCTATTTATTGAAAGATATGCTGAACATGCTGCGCCACAATTTTCAGAACAAACCCACAAATAAATAACGTCCTTTGTTTCGGACATAAATTTATCTACTCTTTTCGTTCCTTTGAGTTATTGCCTGTACCCATATAAATCCCCCCTTTGAATTCTTTCATATTTCACTTTGTCTTTTTATGGCATGAAACAATATTTCTTTTACCCTCTTTTACTCCATTACATGGTTCCACTTATTATATTTTTGAATAATACCCACATCTCTAAACAACTTTCATGGTCCTACCAAAAAAAAAAAAAAAGAAAAAGTGACTCATTTTCCATGTACTTCCTCATTTCGTTGGCTTTAGTTGCTATAGTAACAGGGAAGAACTAAAGGAAACAGAGAGCATTTCATTGATCCAGTATCACCCACCATTCCTGTTTCTTTGTGTGTGTTCTTTTTTTTTTTTTGAAACCATTTCCGTTTCTTTGTTTTTTTGAAGGAGAATTTCCTAGTTAAATGTTATTCAATCCTGATCTTTCTACGGAAAGAACTACAATTCGAACATGATTAACATTTTTATATGGTTCTTTTATTGCAATAGGTACCTGACTGTGATCTAGAAGCACTTTATGTTGAGGCAAATGCTTTCATGTTAGCTTCGCATTTGTGTTGGGCATTATGGGCTCTAATTCAGGTATTTTAATGTATAGGCACCTAATAGAAGAAATCATTGGAACTTTATATCTTCTATTAATTCTTCTTGTTAATTAATGAACAGGCAAAGATGTCTCCTATCGACTTTGACTATCTCAGTTACTTCTTCCTGCGGTACAACGAATACAAAAAGCAGAAAGAAGATGTCTTCTCTTCAGCAAAATCTTACCTCAGCAAGTCTCAGTCCTAGAATGCAGGTGCTGTATTTTTTTTTATGTTCTGAGTTGGTATGGTCAGCTCAATGTGTGCTTCAGGGAGAAGTTCCTAAGAGTTCCGTTTGCAGGTCACTCAATATTAATGTAGTGCAGCAACAGATCTCAGCTGTTAATGTGTTTTTTGGCTATTCTTTTCCAAAGTCGTCTTTTCTCTATTTCCCCCCTCCTGCATCTCTCACCCTGTTTGAAGATGTTCTTTCTAGCCAGGTAACGAAGTGCTGAAGGTACTTTTCAAGCACCTAGAGGGTATATGGGGTTATATGCTTCGGTCTTGTACTATGTTGTAGCACAATATATACAGAGATGAATAAATGTATGTGTCTTTGGTTTTGTTGTAACATTGGTTTGTCATAATAAATAAATAAGGCTGATTCATTTCTCCCCCTTGAAATGCTCCTGGTGCCTGGAGTCTAGTTTCTATAATCTTAGCACCACTTTCGGTAAGATGCCCAGAAACTGAGGATCTTTCTGGAATTGATTCCCGAAAATCTATACTTTAGAGTATGTTGCAGCAAATCAGTTTACTAGATTGATTTTTGTGGCTAACCACTGCTAGTATTTAACTATTTACATAAAATGTCAGCATTAACGAGTTGAAGATGTGGTTCAAACATCCTTATATTTTAAGCATTCAAGGTTGAATCTTCTGACAGACTACTTGCAAGCAGAAATTTGAGGGTGTTTCAGTAACAAACTACAGCAGCTATTTTGTTTACGAAATCTTTCATAAAGTTGTAATCCTGGGATGCTGTTGTTCCTTTCTAGCCTGATGCAGTACGGTGATTATCGTAATTATTCATCTATATACGTCAATTCAATAGTTGCAATTACTAATTGGAAGTTTGTTTTGAAGATAATGGTCCATCCAATATTGAATATTAGAAAGTTACCTTATACACGATATGACATGATCTTACAAATTAGTCAAGTTCAAGTATAATAGACTAATAGTTGAAAGTCATCTCTCCAGCATTTGATTAAACTATTTTCATATTGGATTATTTAAGCTATGTTTATTTCACCTTATTTCAAAATTTTAATGCTAATCAAGATCATTCAATTGTAAATGCACCAATTCATTTGCATGAAAATGTTAAGTTTGTGAACTTGTGATCAATAACTTTCATAATAACTTCTACAAGGCATAAACCATGAAGAGCATGATTCACTATATAAACTATGTGCAATAGATAGAAGATCTATTTGGTGCATGAGCTACAATATAATATAAAAACACAACGCTAATAGGCTTGTACATTACTCGCTCTAATATAGCAAAATTTAGGCACATCATGTGCCTAAAGGTTGCTACATCAAGAGACGCCATAAACACAGCACAAAATTCCTATTTCCGATTCTTTGTTGTATACCCTAGTTTCAAGCTTGAAGAACCTGACAATGGACAATATGGCTTTTTAGGCGTTTCCTACCTGCAATACTTGACCAAATATTCGACATCATAGTCTTGAACTGACCTTTCCCTGTGATTGTTTCCCACAGATCATCAGTAGTTGCTGCACTTCCTGCATGCTCAGATCTTGAGACATCTACCAAAGAAATGCTCATGTTATTGCGTACAATACTTAACTTCCCATTAAGAGGAACAAGGGCTGCTGCCTCCAAACCCTTGGAGTTTCCCAGATGAACTCTGCTATCGATATGTTTACTCCAGGAATCACTCGCCTCATCATATACCTTAAGTTTACATCCATCTTTGCAGTCCAAGGCATAGAGCTTCCCGTTCAAAGAGGCACTGGGATTCCTCCAACCTGCAACCATTCCATCATAAATTGGATACCAGCTGTTAGATTCTGGGTGATATACTTCACTTAAAACCTGACGATGTGACCCAAGCCCTTTTAAGAACCACTTTCCTTCATAAACAACTCCGATGAAAGGCACCATTGCTGTACTCATATCAGAGATTATGGACCACCTATTCTTGTTAGGGTCATAAACTTCAGCTGATCTCAAGGAACGGTGTATACCCTCATTCTCCCCACCTGCTACATACAGACAGTTGTTAATGACACATGCACCAAAGAAATGTCTACGGCGTAACATATCTGGAGCCCGATGCCATTTATTTGTTCTGGCACTATAAAATACAACACGTCTCATTGAGCCCTTAAGGGGGTGCCTGCCTCCAAAGAGGTATAAATGACAGCCACTAAGAACTGCGCATCCAAATCCTAAAGCTTCAGAGAACTCTTTGGGAACAGGTGGAAGGGGTTGCCAGAGTTGGTAGGCAGGGTCAAATGCATGCCATGATATTTTACCATCTCGATCTCTCTTAATGACATATACCCATTCTTCTGCAATTCCTAGACTCTTCCTTAATGAATAAAAGAAGTTGCCAGCAAGAAGACGGTACCATCTTTTGCTGACTAATCGGAGGTTTCGGTGCTCTACTCTTGGAACCCTAATTAAGCAAGCAATGGCCAGATCATCAGGGAGACCTGGAAGGAGAGGAGACTGACTGCGACTTCTGTCACCACGTGAAGGCTTCTGCCGTGTAGGATGAATGGAAGGCTTGATGTCAGGTTGAAGACACAACCTTGTCCCAGGGACATATTTCTTTGCTCCAGCTACAGATTTTAAACCAGCATCAACTCTACACAAGCATGCTGTTGTATCAACCTGCAAGAAGAGAATTATTCTGATAGTTATAAATTAAGATCATTTTTCCTTACTCATTCTTACCATTCAACATACATAAATTCCCTAGCATTTCTTAAGAAATTCTTCACAATATCCGGCAAGAAAGAGAAAATGATATACCTATCAGGATAAACTTCAAGACTTTACTTATCATCACAATAATCAACTACAGATTTATATAAAGGAGAAATTTCAGCAATACTTGTTCTGCTTAATGCTAATCATCTAACTGAAAGCAAATATAATATACAAGTCAAAGATCAGAGACTCAAGATGAAAGTAATTAAGTACTCCGTCATGCCAACCTGAGCAAGAAGTGTTCCTGATTTTGGTTCGTGTGCCATCATTAGAGTTCAGCAAAAGAACTGAGCATATGGCGTAAAATAAAGCGCTCGCTTGTATATCACTTATTCAGACCCACCCTTGATGTGTTTACACCCTCAAAAAAACCAACCAAAAAACACTTCCCTTTATCTAATCATTGAATGATAAACAGTGTCAAAAAAAAAAAAATTTGAATGATAAACACAGCATGACCATTTCAATTACTCTATGGTTGAATCTTCTAAACCAAGATTCAAACTGAAATGCCTATGTCCGAATCAGTACTACTATTGACTGACAATATGATTGACAATCTTACTCAACAATTAATTCCAAAATTTCCTTTCCCTCACTCAACCGGCATCCAGTATTGACTACTCGACTTGGTATGAATCCCCAGCTTGAATATCTTTCCATAATGATCAGTTTTTGACTTGTTGACTTGCTAAGAGTTAACTAAGAATGTTCAGCACCCCCTCCCCCCACCCCTACCCCGCGTAAAGTACACGGTAACATTCGATATTGATTAGTCTCACACACATGAACAACAAAACTGCAACTCTCCTTTCCCTACCAACCCGCGTAAATTGCTAACACTCCTTTCCTCACCACCTCGCGTAAAGTATACATTAATTTCCGATAAAGTATAGTTTCACACACATGAACAATTAAACTGCTAACTCTCATTTCCCACCTCGCCACTCCTTCACCATATAAGTAAATAAATTAAAATAAATATATAAATAAATAAGATCATCCATAATGCAGATCTAAACTTTGAATGATGGACATTCTTTAGCATTTGAACAAGCACTGCAACTTAAAACTAACCAACAAAATTCATACAAACAAGAAATTTACCAAAACATTACCAATCATAAAATTGACTGAAATATGCAGGACAAAACAACTTACCAAAGGAGGTTGAATAAATTTATTATCCATTTCTCATTCATCACCAAACCCTCCTCAATTGTTCAAATTTTTCCAACCCCTGCAAAAAACAATTACACCAAATTACATATAAGTGATATAACAATGTTGATAGCTTTTTACAGTAATATCAAAATTCAAAGTTTCAACAGATAAACTTAAAAAAGTAATCTAACTACTAAAAACAGCATTAAATTCAAAAGTAATAGGTTTAAATTACCCACCAATTAGGTCATTGAAGCTGATAATTCTTCACTTCTTGAAATTCAATGGCAAGGCGAAAAAACCCATTAAAAAAAAAATTCCCCCTAAGTTTTTACCAAAATTGGTAACAAACTAAGCATAATCAGCTCATAATCTATAAAACCCATTTCCAAAATAAATAACCCACATCACAAAAACATCAAATTTCCACTTTAATAGCTTCGATTATAAAGAAATTCTAAATTTCCCCCCCAAAAAAAGTTTTATTTTTGTAAAAAAATCTTTAAAATGCAAGCAACAAAGGTGAAAAAAAAAAGGTTTTTTTTGTGAAATTTAACCAGTGAGTGAGAAGAAACCCAGAAAAAAGATGCAATTAAACAAGAAAAACAATGTCTGGGAATTAGAAACTGATAAAAAAGATGATGAAATGAGGCCCCAAATCGGCTAAACCTAAACCACTATGAACTATTAAAGGGTGTTTTTAATGGGTATGATGCCAAATTTTTTGGGTGGGTAAGTTTATCAGAGCAAAACCCCAAGAACTACTCGGTGGAATAATTTGTGTAAGCTTTGGAAGTTTGCTGTTTGTTTGAAATTGAGGAGAGAGAAAATGAACTCTGCTCCCAAAAAAACAAAAGGAAAAAAAATTGGGAGAGTAAAAAAAAAAAGGTCAAATGGGAGAGAGTATAAATTTATATTCTTATGTTTAATTTGTTTTTTTTGATAAAAATACTTAATATATGTAATTACACCAAATTACTTGCTTACAAATTACATGCACCAAGAATGGATGAAGATTTCAAGAAAAAGGTGAAAAAGTTGAGATTCACATAACTTCAAATCCAACAAGATGCTTTTGATTGTTAGTGTGGGCCATCCCATTATGTTTGACTTGCCTATTTTACAAATGGTATGTTGGCATATGAGCAATTTAGATCTTGGCAACTTGTGGTTCCAAATTTTAAATTTGAGGAGTGTGTATGAGTAATAATCTACAAGTATAATCCTAAATTAGTTGTCAAAATTACTTTTTGCATAATCTTATACTACTTCTGTTACATATTATTTGCAACGATTTAACATAAAGTAGAGAGGAAAAATATCTAATCGTTACAAATAATATATAACGGAGGTAGTAAATAATATGATTTCAATTTAAAAATTCTCAATTGTGTAGCCGAAAGGAAAATAATATGTAATTACATGACACTAGTTACTACTTTTTTTTTAGGTGCAATTAAAATGAAAATATCATAATAGTTGCAACATGCCAACGCCCTATAAATTGAAGGTTTTTATGGAAAATTTATAATATTACTTTTATTAAAAGCTAATGGCCCATTTTATCATACTCCTAACAATCTCTTACCCTATTCTAAGTGTATTATATAACATGAGGTCCACTATTTCTAAACCGTAATGAAGTGTATGTTGCAACTACAAAGAAAACGTAGGAAGTACATAATTTTGTCATGTATATGTGAATTAATACCATATGAATAAACATATGTTGAATTGTTAGAGTTAAGTTTTAGATTCACTTAATCATGAAATGTAGATGATTGAAATTGTAATCCTCCCATTATTCTATTATTTATAATTCTCTCTAGTGTAATCTTACAATCTCCTACACTCTTATACAAGTTTGAGTGTAATATTACATTTAGGTGTACAATGAAAATTGCATCAATTACTTTATATACAACTCCATTTATAATTTGTGAAGAAATCCTTACAATATACGCAGTAAAAAAAAGTACGAAGCAATAAAAAATGCAAACAAGTTTTCATTCCAATCTACTTAATTCAATTCTATACAGATTTTTAACACTTATCCACTATAGAACTACAGTAAATTAGAAAGTGGGATTTGTTTGCCTTTTATTCTTCCTTTTTTCCCCTGTTTTAAAAAGAGGTAAGAATCTTTCCTATTTAAGGTTTTAGTACATAGTAAGTAGTAACACATGAGAAAGAAAGAGCCCACCATTCATCATTCTTAGTGCATTAGTCCTAAAAAAATGCTCTATTTTATTTTAAGATACAAATTATTTATCAAAAAATTCATGAAAAAAAAAAGTAGAGTGTAAAAACAAGTGAGAACTATTCTACATTACGACAAAAGATAATTAATAATTTAGTTGAGACGGGTTAAAATAGATAAAATTTGAAATTAATTTGAAAGGAATGAAGTAATTTCTATTTCACTATTTGCATTGAAAAAGCTAGTCCAATAACTCCAATTTCACTATAAATCTATAATCATGGGTTGTAACTTGTAATGATCAAATGGGTCCCCTAATTAATGATGATCAAATGTAATTAAATGGGGCCAATAATTTTAAAGTTTCATTTTACTTTCATACTTGTATGTTGTTATAATTGGTGCTTAATTATTCTTATTTTCTTATTACATATAGAAACCACTTTAATATTCTCCATTTTTTTTTCGTTCTTGTTTCCTACATGCTTGATGTTTCACGATTGAAGCTACGACCTTATGATAAAACTTACCCCTAGTTTCATATGATATTTTGTTTGGGGTATTTGTAATTGATAAAACTTTATAGTAGCCTGTATTGTCACATCATATGCTCAAGCTACAAACATTTGCTAGCTAATTTTAGCTCCAACAATTAGCTTCTTTACAAATTCCATCTAATCACATATAATCTTCGATCATGTACTTATATGTTTTTACAATTTTCACAAAAAAATCTTCATATTATTATTACTTAGCTTTAAACGGATCTTTATAAACACCTAACTCATATAACGTAGACTTCTCTACTAACTTTCTTCCTTCACATTTTTACTGATCTACTTTACAAATATCATTAATATGTGAGTCCAATCCTAAACCCTACCTTTTCAATATATCGATTGTAGTCAACTACTTTGACCAACACAAATTCATCAGAATCAAAGCTAATAAATTATTTATAAAAATTGCAATCAAATCTCTTAGAGCAACCATTAGAGTTACTCTCCATTAAAAAATCAAACTTAGGGTCTGTTTTCATTGAATGAATTCAGCTGAACTGAATATTTTATAAGAGAAGGAAATTAAGAGCTGAGCTGAACTGAACTGAACTGAATTTCAACGTATGAGAACAAACCCTTAGTTTTGTTTTGTGATTGCTAACATTTTCAAGAAAAAGTATGTTGCTTTATTTGGATGAGGTTAATTGTTTCCTAGCAACTTGCAAGTTGGGGGGAACCAAAGATGGTTGAGATTATAGTTTGATATAGACTGCTCATCTTTAGTGGGGCTCACAAGCTTCACATCAACATTTTTCACTTTTTATTTTTAAGATAGAAATTATATTTGAAGTACACAAAATTGACAATCAAATTTAAAATAAAAGCCAACATTTCAGGGAGTTTGATCTTTTGTTGTTGTTGTAATAATTTACTTTTGATAAACTTGTTGATAAGGGGGAAAAAAACCTGTTGATACAGAGGCAAAGGGAGGAACAAGGAGGCAAAGATTAGCTTAGATATGATACAACCCGGATATTATTGGAGCTCGATTTGGTCAAAACTCGACTTGAAATATAAACTTAATAAGCCACTTTATTGAATTCAAAATCACCCCAAGTAAACCTAATATATGTATTGTCAATTCTTATTGTTTACGTTACAACTTTACTAGATTTTTTCCGAGGTTAAATAGTCTTGATAGAAGCTCAACGAGGCTTTCTAATTTAGGGTTATAAACAAATTAAAGGAAAAATAATCCAAGGAAGCAATCCTTGGCCTATGATGATAAAAATATTAGCTAGAAATATTGTTGTGTTATTCATAATAATTAGACTGATAGATCATAATATATATATATATATATATATTAGTTTTTGAACAAAAATTTTGAAAGCATCATATTAAGTTCGGCACTCTGAATATGTAATGTAAATGTAATTTTAATTATATATCCTATATCTATCACTCCAAAAATTAATTATAAAATTTTGAACGCATCATATCAAGTTGGACACTCTGATTATGTAATGTAAATAAAATTCAATCATATGTCCTATCTAATACCCCAAACTTAATCATAAAGTAACTAAGACGATTGAACATCTAATTTAATTGATTTAATCAATAATAGTACAAAGCAGCAAACATTCTTATGCACACGTAGCAAAATACTTTATAAAAAGCTTAGCAAATTTCTTGATAACACTACTTTGCTTAATTAAGTTAATAAATCACACCTTTTTAAACAACACGTCATTCAATGCCAAAAAACTATGTAAAAAGCTTGATATTACAAGTTACTTTATATTCTCTCAATTTACATAAGTTAGTCATCTCTAATCCCAAAATTAATTTTTATTTTCCATACAACATTTAGATAATTGTATTTATATTTATTTATTTATATATTTTAATTTTTCGCCCTTTATTTCTCCAATAGTAAAATTTTGATTTACCTACATGTCCATTATTTTGTTAAATTCTTTTCCAATCAAACGAGACAAACAGTGTAGAATAATCCAAAACATGTGAGTTCAATTGGATTCCGATCTACAAAGAAATATTAATAAAGTTGATATTATTTGTAAAAGAGTAGTAATTAGTAGTTTAATACTCTATGACGTTTTGTCTTGAGCAACATTAAATTAATAGATAATTTTTTTAAAAAATATATTATGTATTATAACTACTAGGTTGCGTGGTCTGCTGGATTAATAATACAACAAATTTAAATTGTAATCCTAGTGTACTTACGTAACGCTCCTTACGTGCAAGATTCTCCTTCGTTATCTGATTAGAATACTAGCTACGAGTATGTATCGTATGAGATTTATTTGCTACTCCATTTCTTATAAAATTTCGTTACGTAAAAAGTGTATATAACACGATAGGATATTAGGGTTTAAGGCATTTGATACTCCATTTCTTATTAAATTTCATTACGTGAAAGAGTATATAACATGATAGGGTATTAGGGTTCAAGGCAAAAGGAGCGTGTTTCAAGTAGTCGAGTTCTGTCGAGGCTGAAAATTTTTAAGGCCTATGTTTGTATTTGTGTTTTTATAGGAGCTAGTTTAACTAAATGTAATTTTGAATTTTCTGTTGAGCAATTTTACTCTGTAATTTTGTTGATTATTGTCGTATTGAAAAAACAAGCTTAGAATATGGAGTAACATTTAGCATGAATAAATAAATAAAGAAGAAAGAGTGTGCATGTTATGGTGTGCCTTTGAATAGGCCCTAACCAAGTAAATCCCTTAGAAGGAAACAAATGATAATTGTATACGGAGTAAGAGGAAATTAGGGTAAAGTAAGTTTATCTTTCGGAGTATAATTTACTCTCTATTAATCTCGTATTAATTGATTGAGATAACTTTCCCTGAAGTCATCATGTGATATTTATAATTCATTTATGCATCTTAAATTCTTAAGTTTTCCATATATATCAATTTAAGAACTCCGTATCAACTAAACATATATTGATGGTAAAAAACACACTAAAAAATTTATATTTAATTTAATTAATTAATTAATTAATTTTTAATGTAAGGTGTAGCTATTATTTTAGATATTTCTAAATTATAAAACATGATTTTGAAAAAAAAAAACAAACAAACATGTTTAAAAAAAAAAAAAAAAAAAAAACAAACAAACAAACTAGAAGAAGTCTCCAAGATATGAGGTCAACTTTAGGGTAGATGTGACACGAGATGGGCAAACCACCCCACACCTATTTTCTTTTGTGAATGAAAATAGTAAAAACTCAGATATAGTTGGCAGTTCGTTTATGGCACCTCTTTGTCAAAAAAAAAAAAAAAAAAAAAGTAAAGAAAAGTATGCATTTTCATTCCACGTAATCATAATGAAATTTTTTGAAAGTATTCTTAATACAATTCACGTAAACATAATGAAGTTGCATTTATGATCTCAAGAATGCTGTACTCCATTTTTTTTAATAAAAAATACACGGTAAGACCGTAAGATATGAGAAAGGCCCCCCATCCATCACAGGAATGGGGGGATGAGGAATCAAACCCCTATCACTTATTCACTTAGGCGGGGGGGGGGGGGGGAGAGATCTCCTAGATCCTCATGGTTTACTCCGTGATAGTCTCAAGATCACAAGTATTTCGGCAATTTTTGCAAACTTACATATAAACTCAATACCATATTACCATTGTGACATTTTGATCTACTAAACAAGCAACCATATACGAAAATTCTAAGACAGTACGGAGTAGCAGTAACAGGGTTACAAAGAAAACCGAATTGCTGGTATAAAGAGAACAATGTTTCAAGTAAAAGCACAAGGAAATCTGTGAAAGAAATGCAGTGTATGTAAACTTGGACAAGGTACATTTGGACAAAAATTGAGAATTAAAATATGCTGCAGCAGTTGGATCCATAGCGCAAATTGCTGTAATTGGCGCATCAACGCTTGGCCCAAGTTTAATATGTTGCAAATTATAACCTCCCCAAAACATGGAGAAACTCAAAAACCACACTATATTTAATAATTCTTTACAGATGGTGCTAGACCATACACAAAAAAACATACTTCACTGTGAGATCTGGCAAAGACACAATGTAGGCCTACTTTAAACTAATTACTTCATTCAATTGGTTGGGCAAGTAAAAAGAATACAACGCGAACATGTGTGAAGATCAGAGCTGATTCCATGTAGTGGTTAGCACCAACATGGGAAGGATTGCATCATAGAAAAAGAAACTTACATGAATCACAATTTTGCTACTATCCTTTTTCCCCGAGATTAGAATGGTTTTTTAAAGTCGATTTCACCATGTGCATATCCCTTGAAATACTCAGATCGACCATCAATCAAGACGGAGCACTTCGGGTTGTGATTTTACTGTCCCGCTAATCAAATAAGGTGATATAACCATACAGGCCATGAAGAGCGTGAACTGCAGAATGACCATGAGAAGTGAGTTTTTCATGTGTTGGCATGGGGCTGAGGGGTGTTCAAATAAGAGGTATTCATTAAGATGAGAAAAGGAATGGAGACATACCACAAGAGGTAGGGTCAAGAAGCTCCAAATCGGCCACAAAGCCCAGGTGAATCTGCAAAATTTCAAGTTTAAGCACACTTAGTCAAGAGTGATTTCACAAATGTATCAGAATTAGGGTTGGCACTCACAGGCAAAAGGAAGTTAGGCCCAGAAGGGTAACCAATGGCAAGGCAGAACCACCAAGTATCTCCCAGTTCTCATTCGATTTTCTAACACCTGATATTGACATGCTTGTATAAACGAAATAAGCAGCACTCAAAAGAACACCTCCAAATCCTAGGTATAATGGTATCCTGCAGGTTACGAAGCAAAAAGATTGTCAAGTTGGACAAGATATAGACATTGTGTGCAACAGGCATTGCACTACCACAGTACCATGCCAGTATTGCCTTTGAAAGTCAACATAAGAATAATAAACTGGTATTCAGATCCAGAATAATTTAAGGCCATTGGAATACAGAAAAAGATGACTCAATCAAACAAAAAATCATATGCATAACAAAAATTAATATGCCAAAACAGTTGAAAAAGAATGTTTCATATAATCAACTTAATACATAATAAAAGAGGTCTCAGAAACTGTCAAAATATTATACGAAGTATTTAACTGCTTAGAGAAACTAATGCAATACAGGAATCGCTGAAACATATCTACCTTCTACAGAACATCAATACTGGCTATAAATTGTTGTCAATACAGGACATGACATTGGATGAAGTAATCATAACAACAGACTGGAAACTCTGGATCAACCTAGAGCAAATAAGGTAACTAAACACAAAGGTAAAGCTCTTTGCAGGACTCAACTTAACCCTACATGCATGTGAAGCTGGCATTAGAAAACATGAAGGTGCTCATGTTAGACAGTTAGAGCATAGACATGGTGATATTAAATAAACGCAGAGAGAGAAATAACATAGATAATAACCAATGGCAAGGGCAGATGCACCAAGTATGTCCCAGTCATGATGCAAGGGGAAGATAAATGCGATTTTTCTAGTCATGACATTGTCATTAGATTTGCTTCAGCTAAGTACTTTCTAGAATTTTGCATCTCTCTAAAAGGTTAATATAATCTAGAAGCCACAATTTAATGAAGTACCCCATGGTACCCCATAATGGGAATGTTGAAGAGTTACATCAATGATCATTAGTCAATTACTCATGTACTTGTCACAACTCACAATTCAAACAAACTTCACACTTATTAGATTAGGTTATCCCAAAATAGAATTCACACTTTTTCTTCAAGTTAAGCCTTAATTGAATAACAATATCCCCTTCTCTCTCTCTCTCTCCCTCCCAAGTGAGCCCAACACTTTCTCTCACTAACTCTTCATCCCACTTCTAATATCTGTGTTATATTCAAGAGTTAATAATAGGACGAAGTGAATATTAACATAGAAAAAAAGAATAAAAATGACTAACGCTTTGAAAGGAGGTGAAATTTCTACTCCAAGTTCCTATTTGTTCAATAATGACATCCATACAAAATATAAAAAATCAAACATGCCAAAAATTCCATATCTAAAGTGTTTAGGTGGATTTTTCTTTTTGACATCACTGGAGAATGTTAGAGAAGGGAACATAAGTATCTGATTAGAAAAGTAATTAACAAAGCTACGGTGGTAGGCTGCAGGCACAAAGTTGGATAACACTACATTCTTCCTCAACATAATTTCCACTTGAATCAGGGAAAAATGCAGAGGAAGGGAGGGTGTATCTAATAACGACTAACTCTTACACGCAAGAAAATGATCACAGATGGAAAAAAATTACTTAATTCAGGGATAAGATTATCTTAGATATGGAGGTCATGGATATGGGAAACTCCAAGAGTAACTAAAATAAATAAGAATGAAACTCTACTAAGCTTTTAAGAAAAGGTAAACAGAAAAGGACACAAATGAGTCTCAAATTGAGACATTGCATTCAACAAGGAAAATGGCTCTTTGATAATCAATCCATTTCCTTTCCCCTAATCTCTTGACTCTGTAATTCCAATAACCATTCTGGGAAAGCCTACATGCCTTGTTCTTTGATAGTCACGATAGTATCTAAGAGATGAACTGCCTTCCTATAATCAAAATCTTCACATCTTTGTTTTGATAGTCAAGGAAGATTACCCACTACTGACATTCTTGAAAGAAAAAGGCCCTATCATCTAAGGATTGCCCAATGATTTTTTTTTTTTTTTAATTTTATTTTATTTATTTATTTTTTTTTTTAAAAAAAACTTCAGTGAGGGAGCACCCCAGGGTTAAGGAAGTATGAGTACTCGTGCCTCTATCAGACAATTTCTTTTTTTATCATCTCCCTATCTTTGGTTCAAATCAAATCACTGCATAAGAAACAAATCAATTTTACCTGTCGAGGTATCAAAAAATTTGGGAGGTATGGAAAAGAAAAGATCAATAGATTTTGAAAAGAAATTTTATATGCCCAAACATGTTTAGAATCAGTCAAATGAGCTTCCTTAGAATATTCACATTCATCCAAACTCCAACGAGCATGGAAACCCTCCCCCCTCTTTTCAAACAAAGTCAAGATCAATAATTGAAGGTTCACTTTTATTTTATCATCTTTGCCAACTCAATCAAATGAAGCCTTAACTGAAAACTTGGGTCTAAAATTCAGCATGCATGGAACTCTACCCAAGGATGGATCACTTCAGGATAACAAGTAATTGTATTACAATGGTATCCTTCATCAGCAGTATGAACAGCTACAAGGAAATCATCGCTTATGGTAATATACTTGTTGAATGAAAGAATTTTCAAAAGAAATCTTAGAGGATCGTTACGAGAGCAGGGATGCAACCAGCAGGCAAATTAATTAAATAAGGATCAAGGAAGAAAAGGAAGAAGCAGGAAAGAAATTGATCTAGGACTTGGCACTAATAAGCACAGTTGCTTCCAGCATCAGGTTTGTATGCCCTGGAAAAACTGGGTGCAAGTTGGCTTTTGGATAGGTGTCCTCAATGTAAAACAGAAATGCAAATTGAGAGTGGCAACAAGAATTCTTTTGGATCACTGTGATTAATAAAGAGACTATACATAGAAGTGCATAAAGTTATTTCAAGATGACAATCTGCGAACTTGAGTTCCCACATAAAGGCTACTGCCTGCACAGAATATCTAAATGTACTAATTGTTCATCCACAAAGGGGCTGGATAGTCCATGTGTCCATCCCAAATCTCAAACTGAAAGAAGATTAGTTCTGTTGGAAGAAGCATCTGAAGTTCACAACTCTTTGCCGGGTAACAAAAGACAAAACTCTAGCAATACAACTGTAACTGAAACTGCTAAAAAAATCCATCCTCAACATTTTTTCACTTTTTCCTAAACAAAGAGACTGTCAACAGTATATATTCAAGAGTGAGAACGGCCATGATCCCTGAATTCTCTACATAAATTAGTTTTTCACCATTTTTCAGTTGGATATACGCAGCATATCACCTCAAACTTGAAATACAAGCTAAAAAATTGTTCGTCTAGACAGAGGTTATATGTTTCAGAGCAAAAGACCAAGCATAGACAGTGTTTTTATTTCTGTATGAAGTAACTCAGGCACAATTACAGTCTTTAAAAGGGCAAAGAGAAAAAGAAAGTCAATTCCCATGCAGAGGTATGCATCTCTGACCATCATATAATTCACCTTCACACACATCTAACTTACATCAACAACACACATGACACATGTACCCCATTGGTCTTTCTCTTTTAGCAAGATGGTAGGCTCAACTCCCGATATTGCAACTATGGCCATATTTTTCAAAACAATGTGATAATATACAGTTTATGAACACTGTAGGGAGAAATCAGGCCTGATTAAGTCTGCTAGAATGACTTATATTAAGCTCACCCCAAAAACTGGCTGGTAGGTAAAACCGCTGAAAGACTGTTTGCATTGCCGACCACGCATACAGGTAGAGAATACAGATATACTGAAATCTAATAAAATTACCAAGTTCAATCTACGTTCAAAGTGTAGAGAAAATGCCAAAGCATTGTATACACTAAGTGAAATAACAGGGCAAGAAACTCTGAAACTGTAAACCTGGTCATATTTTCTAATTCTCCTTTTTTACATCTACACAGGAAAAATACTATTTGTCCATGAAATTTTATTTTTGGCACACCAAAAGATCCTAGTCAATGTTCAAAAAGTCACTCAAGGCATCTTTTGTATTAGAAGCGACTAAAGCAACTCCAAGAACCTTGATCACATGACAGCTAGAGACAAATCAAATTTAGAGCTTTTCTATCCACAGTTCCACGCATAAATGCCAAATCCATAATCATGTTTGTGAGCCCAAAAAGCTCAAAAGTAAAGTGAATCAAAATATAAGCAACTAAAGTAAAGTCAATTAAGAGTATAAGCACATCAAAAGCCAAAAGCAAAGTACAAAAACATCGAAAATCGAGAATCACTAGCAAGAATCAAAGAATTGTAGCATGAGATCTAAGGCAGATGAATTTACCTCCTAATTCGATCATCGTGCCACAGGAGATATACAAGATTTGAATGCCAATCACCAAAATATATGATAAATACTGCTGAACCAATCCAGAGAACATTCTCCATGATCTCAATCCATGTCTTAGCTCTCGGAATCGAAGGCGTCGAAGGCATTGGTTTCGAACATGCATCATCTTCTAGATCTTCCCCACCGGAGTTATAACCCCAACTATGCCTCTGCCTCATGAAATTAGCCCCAACAGGGGTACCACTCCCACCAGACATAATTCACACAGCTAAATTAACAGCTCAAATTCAACTTCACCCAACAAGAATTCAATCCTCTAAAGAATTATACAAGAATCAATCTTTCTCCAATAGAACCAACTTTGTATAAATCCTACTTACTGCTCAACTACTACTTTCAAGAACAATTCTCCACCTAATTATAAGTTTTTAGGTAAGACTAACAAAAACAATGAATTGAATCAAATAGAAAAAGGGGGGGAATCACATAAAATAAGTTAATTGCCCCCTTTCTTTTAACGAAATAACAGTATAAAAATTTCAGCAAATAACAAAATCATCAAACACCAACTCAGCTTCATTACCTCCAAAATTGAAATCCCATGTTGTAAACTGAATTCCAACCAAAACCCATGTGAAGAAACAATCAATAACTGACAAAACCCCAGAAAAATTACAATTGAATGAACCCTAAATTGATGACCCACCAATTGAAAATAGCTTAAATTGGGGAAAATTTCAGAAACCCAGGTTTAGATTTGAATAGTAAGAAAACCCAATTGGTGGTTTCCTCTGAGTCTTCGAAATCAGTCATTAACGGAAGCCAACTGACAGCACTCAGACAACTGTTAAATTTGGAGTAGGAGAGAGAAAGAGAGAAAAGTAAAATGTAAATGAATGTGACGAAATTGGTGAATTCTTTGATGCGCCGTTTGCCTAAAGAAGATGGCTAAGTTGGGAGATTCGTTTCGTGTAGTTTCGAAAGAATGTAAGAGAAATTCGAACTTTTCGAAGTTTTTTTTTTTTTTTATTTTTTTTTTTATTATATATATATATATATATATATCCTTTTTATGGAAAACTAAACGTCGCCCTCGAATCTCTAACTAACGCCCGCAAAATAAACTAAAATTACAAATTTACCCTTTTTATCAAAAAATTACCCCCTCAATTTACCCCCTCTACATCATACTACTATACCCACCACCACCACCACCACCACCACCTCCTCCTCTTTTAACCACCAACTCCTTACCTCCGGTTTCACGATCTACACAGCCGCGGTAATGACAAGTAAGGACAAAGGAAAGTCAATCGCCAACGGAGAAAATGTTTTTTATTTTAGTTTTTTTAATTTGCGGCAAACGCCTAGATTTTTCGCACGTCCTAGGCTCAAACGCCTAGTTCTTGTGAACAACCGTGTGGTTGTATGAAAAATCCGGGCGTTTGAGGTGAAACGCCTAGTTTTTTAGAATACCCTAGGCTTAAACGCCTAGTTTTTTCGAATAGCCTAGGATGTTTCGAAAAAACTAGGCGTTTCAGCCTACGGTATTCTAAAAAACTAGGCGTTTCCTGGGTTTTGAATTTTTTAAAAAAAATTTATCGCGACGTACCGATTTCATACGGTTTGACGAGCCTTCTACAAGCGTCTAAGGTTGTGTTTCTTGTATTCGTCGTTGTCCATAAGATCTAACGAAATTGATTTTGCAAAATTTTAAAAATTTGTTTGATTTTGAAACTCACGGTGGTTTGGGTGGTTGTTCGATGAGCGTTGGTGGCCGTTGACCACTAGAGAGAACGGTAAAAAAATTTGTGTACAGTAAAAGTGTGAAATTGAGGTAAAATTAATTATTTTTTATAATTATTATAAGGATAAATACGTAATTTTATTTTAATTTGCGGGCGTTAGTTAGATATTTGAGGGCGATATTTAACAACCCCTAATTTTTTTGGTACAAAATTTCAGAGAAGTTGAGTCATTGACGTTAATATCAATCTAACACATTAGTACATTACACAATGATATTACTTGTACTGCCGTTCAAAAAAAAATATTACTTGTACTGCTGTACAAATTACCTTGTTTATTTGGGTTAGAAAAGATTTTGCAATCACCAAATTAATGTAAATGGAATAATAATTCGACAATATGTTATATTTTGTGCAATAAAATCACAACCTATCATACTTTTTAATCATAGAAAATTATTACCTATACCGTTAAATTTACAAGAATTAGAAAATATATTTTTTAAAATTTTTTGTTAGATAACGGAAGAAAGAACCGAACCATTTTATAATTCAATATATGGTGTGAGTTAGTGAGCTAAGTCCTTTGGAAGGCACAGGGAGGGGAGAGGTAAGAAAATCCCCGCCCTAAAATCCCTACAACGAGGCTTTATGCTACAACCTCATAAGTGTGAAATAATTTGTGTAGTAATTAACTATGGATTAGAATATTAGATCCTCTATGCTATAATGTTTGCGTGAATTCGATTAATTGTATGTTAAGTATTTTAACAATTTGTTTAATTGACTGTTATAGAAGCAGTAGAGGCAAATTCGATTGGTAGCTTAGAAAGAAATCTAATATATATATATATATATATATATATATATATATATATATATATATAAAGGGGAGTTTTTTCCCGAGTTTTTAGAGAGCCACGTAGGATTTAATTTTTTCAGCGCGCCACGTAGGACAATGGACTTTCATCACTCCGGTTAATAAACCACCTAGCTTGACTCTCATAGGCTGAATTTTAGTGGTAGCCAATTAAATACAAGATTATTAATTTCTTTTAGATTTAAATATTTTAAATGACACGTAAGCAAAATTGGCGAATGAGATTTTCCGGTTTAAATTAATTGAATATTATCATTTGGTATCAGAAATTTTATCTAAATATATAACAAATTTTAGCACATAAATATAATGTTAAAAAAGTTATTTAAAAAGTTCAAATAAATTGTGCATCGCACGAGCTTAATTGTAGCCAATCAAATAAGAGATTATTATTTTCTTTTAGAATTATATAATTCAAATGCCACGCAAAATTGGCGATTGAGATTTTTAAGTTTAAATTAATTAAATATAAAATATTATCTTTTGATATTAGAAATTTTATCTAAATATGTAACAAATTTTATTTGTAAAAAAATGTTTTAAAAAATTGAAACAAACCGTGCATCGCATTCATCTAGTTATCTTTATTCTTTTCTTTATGACGTTACAAAATTCTTTATGTTGCTTTTTTTCTTTTCTCATTTGGATAAACATACTGCAATAAAATATGAAAAAAGCAATTTTTATTTTTAGATTATTGAGATAGTATTAATCATTTGATTTTCCTCTTTTTGAGAACTATAAAGGTAGGACTCTAAATTATTGATTGAAAAAAAAAATTAAAAATGAATGAAAGGAAAAGAAAAAAGATGAAATGATTCCTTTATTATATTATCCCCCTTGGCTGTATACTCGTATAATTGATGATCGTATTTGAACAATTGAACTTTTGTCATATCTATTCAAAAGAATTTGCTATAGTTCATCTCCATATGAAATGTGCAATTACTTCATTAAATATAATTTAAGCTCATTAGAAATACTTTAAATTAGAAAAGAAATAATTTAAAGGTTTAAATTTAATTCCATTTTAACAAAGATAATTTCATTTAACTATTTAAGTGATTATTAGCTAAAATTACACTCCCTTTTTTATTTTCAAAAGAGATATGGCCAATTGACCAGATTGGTATAAAAGTTAACACCCTTATGACAGATTGGTATAAAAGTTATTGCCAGCGACATATTGGTATAAAAATTAACATGTGGCGACATATTGGTATATAAGTCAACAAATTGCGACATTTACCCCTATTTTCTCGTCGGAGGATATGCGTATGATACACGCTCTTAATTTTAGTGCTAATAACTTTTATTTGACATTTTGTTTTTTTTTTTGTACTTTTCTCTACTTTTTATATTAATTTAAAAAAATTATGAAGTAAAAATCCAAAAAAAAAAAAAAAAAAGCCCAAAAGTGATGAGAAAGAAGCTAGGGGAAAACGAATAGGAAAGCTTGAGCAAAGGGATATAAGCTTGAATGTATTGAGGGCGTTGGTGATTGACGCATCACAAGGGTATAGTAGATTCATATTGTTAAGATAATTGTGAATCAAAGCCTCGTTCATTCATTCATCATCATAAGATATTTATACAAGCTATTGCCTTGGGGCACAAGGATCAAAAATCTATCATACTTAGGAAGTTTATCATACTTGCCTAAGATGATACTAACAATATAGCAAATAATTATCTTTGCCAATTAATAAGATATTACTAAGATTATCTTTTCCTAATACCCCCCCTCAAGTTGGAGCACTTGGATCAAAGATGCCCAACTTGCTAAGAAGATAATCAAATTGTTGTTTTCCCAAGGCCTTTGTAAAAAATATCCGCTAGTTGTTCATTCGTACGCACATGCCTTGGAGTAATTAGGCCTTCTTGAATTGCATCTCGAACAAAATGACAATCAACTTCAATATGTTTTGTTCGTTCATGAAATACGGGGTTTTGAGCAATATGTATGGCCGCTTGACTGTCACAATAAATTGGTATAGCCCGAGGATGTTGAACTCCCAAGCTCAATAGTAGGCCCTTTAACCACTTCATTTCCATTGTGATTGCACACATGGAACGGTACTCAGACTCGCCAGAGGAAGTAGCCACCGTTGGCTGCTTCTTGCACTTCCAAGCTATCGGGGAGTGGCCTAAGAAGACTAGCCAACCCGACACTGATCTATGCGTGAGTGGGCAAGCATCCCAATCCGCATCGCACCAGCCCTTAAGAGTAAGATCGCTGTCCGTTTTAAGCAATATTCCATGACCCGGGGTGCTTTTCAAGTAACGCACCACTCGTATAGCAGCCTCCCAGTGAGCTTGTTGTGGAGCCTTCATGAATTGAGAGAGCACATGCACGGAGTATGTCAAATCTGGCCGAGTTACAGCCAAGTAAACAAGGCGCCCAACCAATCTTCTATACGGTTTTGGGTCATCGAGTAGGGGGTTGTTGTCACGACCCAAGCGATGATTTTGCTCCATGGGTGTTGAAGCCGGTTTTGACCCTAGAAGCCCTGTCTCAATAATTATATCAAGAGAATATTTACGTTGACATAAAAATAAACCGATACTACTCCGTGCTACCTCAATGCCAAGAAAGTACTTGAGAACACCCAAGTCCTTCATATGAAAACACGAACTCAAATAATTTTTGAACAATTTCAAGGCTGTAGAATTGTTCCCTGCAACAATTAGATCGTCCACATAAACAAGGACATTAAGTTGAATTGATCCCTGTGTATAAGTGAATAGAGAGTAGTCCGGGTAAGATTGAACAAAACCATACTGTTTTAAAGCCGTAGTAAGCTTAGCAAACCAACAACGAGGAACTTGCTTGAGACCATATAAAGACTTTCGGAGACGACAAACAAGACCCGGTTCATCAGTAGTAAAGCCCGGGGGAAGTTTCATATATACTTCCTCATTCAAGTCACCATGGAGAAACGCATTATGTACATCCATTTGATGTAATTCTCAGTTCTTTGCAGCGGCAATGGTAAGAAATGCACGAACCGTGGTCATCTTGACAACCGGGGCAAATGTCTCATCATAATCTATGCCTTCGGTTTGATGATTACCAAAGACAACCAATCTCGCCTTCAATCTTTCAATGCTACCATTAGAGTTGTATTTTATTTTGTACAACCATTGACTTCCAAGAGCCTTTTTCCAGGGGGGGAGCTTCTCCAAAGTCCACGTGCCATTGGTTTCTAAGGCACGCATCTCTTCTTTCATGGCCATCTGCCAACCATGATCTTGCATTGCTTCTTTGAAGGATCTTGGTTCCTTCCCACCTGTAATAGCTGCAACCAAATTTCGGTGTTTTGCAGAAAACTTATCACAACTAACATAATGTGCTATAGGATACGGCATACTTGAGGGAGGAGTAGCAATTGAATTAGGTGGA